GAACTAAAGAGACAAGCGTGATATTTCAAAAAGTCATTAAAAGTTCTGGTATTTATCGATAGATGGAAGTATCACCGCTGTGCCGGTCGGAGTGGGGGGTGTCAGGTTATTTTCGTTACGGAATTTCTGGATTCGGTCCCCACGCTCAAGGCCCGCGATAGAAGCTATGCAATAGCTTAAAACTTACGGTAAGACAATCAAAATATCTGAATATACTTAATCTTCATAAAAAGGTGTTCATTAAAATGAAACATTAAATACATATTATAATATATTCTCATAAAAAATAGTCAACGAACATTACTTGAATACTAACTAAAGCAAACTAAGAATGTACTCGTGAAAATGTTTAAAAAATAATTGTAATAAGTATTTAAATATCGATATCAAATAACTTGCCAATAATCCTTATAATGAAATCAGAAAAATTAAAACCGACTATAATGGCTCTCTAATGGGTCTGTTCCTTAAAATATTAATTATAAATTATAAAATTATTTACAGCATGATTATAAGCAATAATATTATAAACTTATACTTTGTTTTACCTTTCCCGATACGTATTTACAACTAAAAACTAAGTATTCATATTTTCGTGATTCCCAAATGTTCCTTGCCCTACAACAACTGTCAATTTTTTGATGATCTTTTTATATATATCAATTTAGGTCAAAAAATTTTTAAGAAAATAATAGTTTATTTACTTGAAAACTAAAGTTTTGTTGTGAGCGTATATTATAATTTTAACGTTGACGAAAGTAGTCAACAAAGCGAGGGTCCTCATTGACAAACCAGCAGCGCCAGCGGCTTGCCGGTGCGTCAGTGTCCTTAAGTTCGATGGGTGCTAGTCCGAGTAGAAGTAATTTGTCATCGCATGGCAATAACTACTTTTTAATAATCGGCCTTACAAAAAACATGGCCTTTCATGGTCCACCCACCTTATATAGTTTTTAAAATCAAGAACGAATCATTTGAAAATAATGAATTAGTCTAAGAATAGATTCAATGAAATGGACCTGATTTTCATGAAAATCTGTCAAGCAGAACTGAAGATGCAGTTACAACTTCTTCTAGAAAATTCTACAAATTCCTATCAAGGGCTATGGTCATATATTATAGACTAAGTATAAATACTCAATACACTAAACTATAAATAAACAGTATAAACATACACGCTAGTAAAATACCTATATATAGATCCTGTTAATTATGTCCGAGAATAAAGTACTTAGTTTGTGTAAAGTCCCAATAGACACATATTTAGTGATAAAGTAAAGTAAATAAAGTATATATTGTACACAGAGATAGACTTTTAGTGATTCAGTAGATGTTTCAATGAATGTTCCAAGAAGACGTGTCATACATATAAACACCGTTCTGTAACATTTACACTTTTTTTGTATCAATATATTTATTGACGATACGTATGGCTTAGTTTGTAGTGATCCTACTTGCTGTACCAGCGGTCACAGGGTCCGCAAGTCCGCACTCGCTCCGCTCGGATTCGTCCCTATGTATTTATATAATACTAGTAGAATCCGCGGCTTTGCTCGCGCTAAAACTACAAAAAAATCTCTGAAAAGGTAGTTTCATACTGATCATAAATATTTTTTTGGATTGTATTATACCGTGTATTCCCATGGGAATTACATAATCTCCTATGGTAAAAAGTAGCCTATGCACTCTCCAGCCCTCTAACTATCTCCACACAGAAAATGACGCCAATCCGTCACTCTGTTTCGACTATATATATTAAACGACTATATAATTTGGATTATACAAAACTACTAAAATCGCGATTAAAAAAGGTGAAAGAAGGGAGATGGGGGTAGGAGGGTGAAAAACACTTTACTACCTGTTCTCATACCTAAAAAATATATAAAAAAAATCATTAAAATCAGTCGAGCCGTTACGGAGGAGTGTGCCACAAACACCATGACACTAGATATAAGCGACCTAATCGCATTGAGAATCTTAGTAAGAAATATAATAATATGCACATGTGTGCAAAAGCACAGGTGCAATCTCTAATTTTTTTGTTTCAATTATCATGACTTATGAGATACAAGGCATAGACTACTTACACACCGATTACTTGCTAACTCGGAACTACTACTGAGAATTCATTTGCTACAAATACTTAATATCTTAAACCCAACCCAGAAATGGGTACATGACAACGGATCTGTAGCTTACTCCAAGCCACTGCAATTCATTTGATTCAAATGTTCTAAAATTAAATGTTAAAGCTCTAAGAAATCATTCTGGGTAATTTATATCAAAATCTATAAAGCAATTTTTATACAATAAGTAATCAGAATACCGTAAAAATCTTATCATTCTTGTCGATTTACTTTTTTCGGTATTATTTTTTAGACTTATTCAACCTGGTGTAAAATTTTAATAAAATAAACTCAGCAGTTAAGTACGAGTACCTAAGCATTATATAAGGTAACTTTTTACATTTAGAGACAGACGTAACTTTTTATATTTGTAAAATTATTAAAACTGTTTTACTTGATAGATAATAATTAAAAGAGAAACAACTACAAATACATAGTCATGATAAGTCGTTTATTGTTGATGATCATTATAATTGTCATTAATTATTGTTTGTAGATTAGTAACAGTAAGGTCTGTTAGTTCTACAGCCGCAGCCGCAGCTACCAGCGATAGTGACAGCTCCAGCGGCTGGCACAGCGCCTCCGAACTCAACAGCGCCGAGGATGGGCACTTGTCCACCAATGACAGTGGTACCACCAACTGGCATCTGACCGATGATTGCTACATCACCGATACCCTCACCTCCGTAGGCGCCAGCAGCTGAAGGAAAAGCATAGGGGCCTAAACCAGGAGCACCGAGACCCATGCCGTAGCCAGCGTAAGCGCCAGGACCAAAATATCCAAAATCACCGTAGCCACATCCGCAGGGCTCGGCAAACGTGGCAAGACCGTAAGCTGGTCCAGCGCCACACCACTGGCTGTATACATTCTAGAAATATGAAATTACTAATTAAATAATAATGTTTCCAAATTATAAGTGCAAAAGGAAAATACATATAAAGTTTTTAAAACACGATGTTTACCTGAACCAAGCAAGCTTGGAGGCAGAGTAACAAGAAGGCGAAGGTGGACATGTTGCTAAGTTTGTATTCAACGAAGTCGAGTACACAATGTTAACGATATGAGTTTTGACCCTTATATACTGTCCTTGCTCTTCATTTAGATAACTCTTTCGTAATATCCTACGTGATATTATACCTTTTTTTTTATTTAAATGCTTAGTACTTTAGTTAGTACCTACTATATTTTTATATTATTTTTTTATGATTGATATAATTGTTCCTTTAATGAATCAAATTTAAAAAACTTTGTTTTTAACTTGTAATGATATCAAATAGCAGAGCTATAAGGAGGCTTTGAGAATCATCTTTTTCAATTACTACGCTTGGTCACAGGAGCAGGGGGGAGGTCTACGTCACGTAGTCAAAATCTGATTTTTTTTTAAGTGCACATAAGCTATAAAACTGAAATATATGTTTTAAGTTTTTTTATTTAACCTAAATTTCCAGCATAATATTGCGTATTTATGATATTTTATAAAAAATGAGTGATTTTTTTACTATTTATTAACAAATTATTATATGTAGGTATGTTAAATCGTAACAGATATAAGGCCATGGCACCCTTGGTGTGCCATTGTGTGATTTAAATTAATATATTTTGAACATTTAAGTTATGTAATAAATGTTTAATATTTTTCATTTACACATTTCTCCTAATGACCTATTAACTAATCTTGGAGTGGTCACGTACATACATTGAGCGATTACAAAAATAATCATTTACGTAACATTATACATTTAAAAATACATTGTTCTAATTAAAATATATAAAGGACTAGCATTACCCGCGGCTCTGCCCGCGTTCAGATGACCAGAAACCAAATTCTTAGGTTTTATATATTAGTATACTCTTTCTAGTTACATTGCATTTTTAGTATTTTTTCTCAGAAATGAGACATTTTCCCGCGGTAAAAAGTATCCTATATGTTTACCCGGATAACCAGCTAGCTACCACCTTACAAAATTTCATTTAAACCGGTCCAACAGTTTCGGAGATTAGCCCGTACAAACAGACAAACGGACAAACATACAGAGAAACAAAAAAATTGTAAAAATCCCCGGTCAACATTTTAGATTCTTTTCTTCCCGGAAAATTAAAGAGTTCCCGTAGGATAGTTAAAAAACTATATTAACTTATACAGCTTAGTAGGTACACAAAAACTACTGATTGGATTTTAATGAAACTTTACAGTAATATATATACATCAGAATAACAAAAAGGCTACTTTCTATCCCGGAAAAAGGTACGGTTCCCGTGGGATAGATTTGTTTTTGTTTGTCTAGAGGAAACCCGAGCGAATCAAGGGTGAGCCGCTACTAATAATTCAAAATGACACAGCTGAAGCATGCTTTATACATCCTAAGACATTTGTCAAGACATGATAATAAACAGACAAGAATAGTTAATCGTAAATGGCTGTGTGTAAGAGAGAATTGAATAAAATGTTTATTCATATAAAAAGGCCGGCAGTGTGACGAGAGATCAATTGAATTTTAGAGCTAAGTGAAGACTGAGTGACTAAAATGGTTTTCAGATACTAAATTAAGGAGGTGTAGGTATTGCTGCAGAGGAAGGACTATCAGGAAGTTGTTATCGCATATTTTAGTAAGTCATTATCTAAATCGGAGAAGAACTTACTATTGTGTGAATAAAAAAAAGCTTCTTGCTGTAAAGCAGCCCGAAAGGCAGAAGCGAGATGGCATGAAAAACTCCAAGAATTTCAGTTTGACGTAGAACACCGTGGGGGTAAAAGTCGCATTCTTGAGTGTATCTTGACATAAGTGGACTGGTTATGGTGCTATTACATGGAGTATTAAAGGAATAATAAATCTAATTAAAAGAAATAATCTTAAACAAAAAATATTCCTCATTTAATTATTTATAACTGGCACTTGTACATCAAGCGGTAACTGTCCTTCTAAATGCGGGTAGAACGGACCGGGCATCCCCGCCACTATGTCGGAGGGGGAATCTCCAGATCGTGGATACGGATGGTGAGGAGGCGCACCCATCCATTGTGGATACCAGTAGAGACCCTGAGTAACAGAATTTATAAATCATTGAAAAGATTAAAGCTACTTTTTACGATCCAAAGTATTGTTCGGGTTTAGATAAAATTACATTCTTCAATCGGTTATGAACAGAAAAGAGATAGAACTTAGACGTCATTGCCAACATTACGCCATTTTAATGTTTCTTCTTAACTTACTGCGCACAATAACACGAGTAAATATGAATAAAATACACTTAAATAAATATAAAAGTACCAACAATGTAATGCCTTAAATTCAAAAATGTCACGTTTCTGATATAGTTGAACTTCTGGTAAACATTGCCACATGAAAACAATAACAATCGTCAAAAAAAACTTATTACCTACCTGTTTGTGTCAGTTGTATTCAAAAAATATTTTCCAGAGTAGTCATAAAAGCGATCTTTATCTCAAAATATCACAGAAACGTGACACCTTAGGTCACCATATTCTTGATTTAATTTGTTTTTTACATTTCCTGTACCTAATTATATCAGTTTTATCAAGCGCCGATACTTTGGAAAAAAATGGCAGCCCCAATAGAAAAATGTTCGCACCCCTCTTATAAAATGTAGTGAAATAACAAATTGAAGCGTGATGTTATACAATCATTTTATAATTTTTTTTATATTTTTTCATAAACGATGGTAAATGCTATCTTGTCTATAAATTTAATGAGAAAGACGCTTAAATAATATAATAGATACCTTGTTATTTCCCGCGCCAGAACAAGTGTATCTGTACTCATTTACAGTGAGTGGATCGAGATAACTGATGCCAGCAATCGAACCGTAGTTTGGTGGAAACATAAACCAGCATCCATCCAGTGTATCTAAATAGCAATCAAACAAGGATAAAATATTGATGGAAAACGAAAAGAAACGAAAAATATTAAATATAGCTAAAACATTTGCTTAAATAAAAAAAATCTATCAATAGCGATAAGCTCTGAAAACGTCTAAAGTCAAAAAATATTGTTTAATAATATATGTATTTAAATTACATGTAATATTAGCATATTCAGGCCCCGGTGACTCAGTGGATACATGAAACGCTTCTGTAGTCTGTTCGATGAAGGGCGGGATGGGAGAAAGTCCTGTTCCTGGATCTCCCGGGATTATGAATGGGCCTGAAAAATCAATCATTATGGATATTTTGTATACTCGCATCATTCGGATGCGTCCCTAGATACCTTTTTAATCTATACTAATATTATAAGAAGGTATAATTAGTGAGTTTGTGAGGTTGTAGGGGGTAATCTCTGGATCTACTGAATCGATTTAGATGAAATTTGGCCCTGATCCCGGAAACCATTCCTTAAGGGGGTGAAAATGGGGATAAAAGTTTGTGTTGGGAAGCAAGCTAGGGACGAACCAGAGCGAAGCGAGGTTAAGTCGCTAGTTTATAATAATTACTGTATACAGACAGCGCCACTTTAGGAATTTTATTACTAACATTAGCCTCCAGGTCGATCCATTCAGCTATTTCAAGGTGTTCCAAGAAGAAACATACTTACACACACACACACTCACACACGCACGCACGCACGCATACAAACAAATACACATATAAACTAGAATCAGTAAAATATTCGAATTTATTAAAATACAATCCTAATTACCTCCATAGAAGTTAGTGTTATTCCATTCACAGACATGATGATCACAGACCAATGGCGAAAATCTTTCCTTCGTATAATATGAATGCCCATTCGGCAGAAACTAAAAAGAAATCAATAAAGATGCAGCTTATAATACGCTTTAAGGACTGATATCATAAAACTATCCTTTGACACGGTTCAAGATTTGGTTTTTGGTTGTTGTTGGTTCAAGATTGGCTTCTAGTGACTAGTGAATTCTTCGGAATACTTTAAGATACATATAAATATCAGATAGTTCACTGGATATAATTTTGAAATTGCACTCATTGTTTCGTATACAAAATACTATACCAGACCGATATCGGATCGAGAACGAACTGCTATCAACACTATAATATGGATCAGGACTTAACCGTTTCCAGAAATAGCATTAGTCATTGCTGTGCTTTCAGTCAGTCAGTTTTAGAGTTTTGTTAACATTATTTCTCTTATTATTTCTTTCACTTTCTTATCCATCTTATGTTGTTGTATATTAAGGTGTCTTCTTAGGTTTTTTCTTAAGACATTCTGAGTGAAGTCACAGAAGAATAGTAAATTAGTACCAGTCAACTCACCAGCATATAGTCATAATGTCTAAATCTTATTCCCTGTATATTAAAGTCCAATATAAAGGAGCCGGATGTAATTATACAGGAAACAGCGGTCAATGGCGGTAGTTTGTACATAACAAGACCGCACTTCACAATTGCTTTCGGCAACGTTGATACGTCTCTGATGTGTTGAAGATTCTTTTTAAATGGAAACCTATAATTATTTTTATACTTTTCAGGATTTATCTAATTAATTTTAATATCATTTTTTACTTTTAGGTGTATTAAACATAGTAAAATAATAAATTTTAATAAATATTTTAATCGAAATTTTCATTTCAATGAATACTACAATTGGAATTTTTATAAGAATACCTTAAAATAAAATAAAACTTTTATGTCATTTATATTCTACCATAAACGATTCAGTATCAAACGTTTAGAGAAGTATTAGAACATTGTATATACCTAAATATACATATCCCCAGATGGCATTCTAGCCCATGGATATAATTATCCATCGCGAATGAAACACTTGGATCTTCCTCCAAAAAATACTTGTTGTCATCCATGAAATGGACGAAGCCAAGGAAATGGAACCCGCGATCCTTACAATACGGAGTGATTCCTCTCCCGATATTGTAAATGTCGCTGTATAACTCCGATATAAAAATGTAAACATTTTTTCCACAGTAAAATTCTGAAAGTTTGTTGTAAAACAATTGTTATATAAACAAGATATATTAGAAATTGAAATTTTAAGTATAGGTACACATAGCTTTAAGTTATTTAATTTTATAACCCTTATAATATGATTAGATACCTTAGTTTTTATAAAATGTACTTATTTTTAACTATAAATGGAACTCAGCGTAGTCCTAGCATAGAAATAAGAAATAGAATATCATAAAAAACAAAAATTACTTTGTTTTTGAAGGTATGTCTATTTCATACTTTTAGCCTAAATAAAATAACTTGGGAAATGGGCAGGGAGAAGAAGAAGAATGAATACACAAAAATCTTTACCTCTCCATTTATCATTACCTTGACTTAAATAGAACTCAGAAGGCACTGCTCCTCCTGCTGCAGAATTATAAGTGGCCACTCTTTCATTTTTTATTGCATTGTGATTATCGTACATCGTTAGCATATTGTCTATCGTATCATCTAGAGCTATCAAGAGCACCTATACAAAAAATCTGAAGTATTATCGTTAGTTGTATTTAGTTAAATCTTCCAAAGGGTTTCTATTACCTTTAGTTCCTTGATATGCATGGTGATGAATCTACCGAGATGATCTGTCGCAATGTGGACGTGTTCGTTTATAATATACTGTAAAGTTATCATTATTATGTATATTGTTAGGAATTTTGCAATTCGTTTCCATATAAGTTATTAATTTAGAAAAAAAATATATTTCAAATTGTCGGTACAATTCATTTCATTCAACGACTCAACGACTTTTATGAAGAAAATTATAATTATAGGTTATGAATAAAACCTGATCGGGTGCCCTCTTAATTTTCATCATCTCGATCTGATAATGTGCGAGGTGATCAAGCTTGTCAGTTGGATCGTGGCCATATATCTCATAAGCATCGATCATCATCGCTAGGGTTAAATTTTCATTTGGCTCTTGACAACATGGATGACGTCGAATATCATAACTTTCCTAAAAATATTACGAAATTAACGACACAGAATGATGGTTTTCATTTTTATTCGTACAGTTTATAGTTTGGTTTTAACTGTACTGCTCGTATACATATATCTTTACAAGCATATTTGACTTGAGACTTGATTTGACTTGAAAAGAGAGCCCATGATTTTTCCGACGGAACCACCCACCTTAAATTTCTTAGGGGTTAGAGACGATGGTCTTTTCCAAGTCAGGCGTTACATATTTACTCAGGTTACGCTACGCCCCACGATTTTATTTTTGAGTCTGATCAATGCCCTAGATTGATGAGGAGAGTGGTGTGATGACTAGTACCTAGGACCTACCAAATTATTTTTTACCTTCACAGTCGAGATTATTATTATCTTTTTTTTTTCAATAAAACCGTTTATCTTAAAAAAATACTCTTTTTTAATATGTGTATGTGTATTCAGCCCTTTTTTTTAACGTCCCACTGCTGGGCACGGGCCTCCCTTCAGTACGAGGGGGATCAGGCCATAGTCCACCACGCTGGCCAAGTGCGAGTTGGCGGACTTCACATGTCTTTCGAAAACTTGCTAGGTTCTCTCAGACATGCAGGTTTCCTCACGATGTTTTCCTTCACCGTAATAAATAAATAAATACGTTTTTAATATATAAAAAAATAATTATTGATTTTCATTATTTTTCAGTACTTACATAAACTTCTAAAAACCATGTTAAATAAATAAATAACCAAACACTGGTTAAGCCCATATCGCTATACAAAATATAAAAACTGTAAAAATATCAACGAGCAAACCAATTATGTAATTGGCAATAAATCAATTACCTTAACGAAAAAGAAATTACTTTACGAATATTGCAAAGTTTTATTTTAGGCCAAATATCATTTATTTTATAGTAAAAGTTTTTATTTTACAATAAAAATATATGTTATTTATTATATTCATTACCAACACAACCATCAAACTTATTTTTTACCAATCATTCTCTATCCCGTCTTCTTCCCTTTACATGAAATTTTCAAATTGCCCAAAGATAAAAGGGCATACGTAAAAATATAAAAGCAGTCAGTTTAACTTCAACATAAACATTCGAGTAAGTTTTTTTTACCGATTATATAACTAAAAAACATGGAAACACGAAGGCCTAGAAATCTTGTTTTTGCCAGACGATGCAAAGCAAATCTAATATATTTCGATACATAAAACACATACATATTTAGATATTCATACCTTAAAATATTATTGGCTAGCACCGACTTCGAAAATATCTCATTACCGCTTGGCCGATTTCGATAAAATTTATATGGGACCACCTGGAAAGTATACCCTTTGAAACAAAAAAAAAATTTCAAATCGGTTCAGGCGTCTTCGAGTAATCGGTGAACATACAAAAAAAAAGATTCCGACGAATTGAGAGCCTCCTCCTTTTTAGAAGTCGGTAAAAAAGTACTTAGATTGACAAATCGAAATATGGAGGTTAATTTTTACTTAAAAATAAATGTACACTCTACCATTATATTTTATTACAAATTATTCTAAATATTATCCATACTAACGTAACGTAAACATAAAAGTTTGTGAGGATGGATGTTTGTTACTCTTTCATGCCAGAACGGCTGTACAGATTTGGATGAAATTTGGCGCAGAAATAAATTATAGTGTGGAATAGCACATAGGTTACTTTTTATCACGGAAATAGCACCTATGGTTAATAGATTTGTTTTTGTTTAGGCACGAACGCGAAGCGAAGCGAGGGTGAATCGCTAGTTTCTTATAACTGGCAAATGTTTATCTTGTGATATCTGTTTTGTTTAATACATTAGCAACCTGTTACAGAACTCATTTTATATATTGTCTACAAATCTTGAATTCCAATACGTAATCTTATATCCGGTTATTATAGAGGCATTGTGCCAAGGAACAAATTTGTTCTTATTGATCGCTTTACCGCGCATCTCCCTCGCGCCGAAGTCACCCAAACGAGTATAGCCGTGCGAGCAGCCATTGTAATAAAGAAAATCTTTTAAAAATGGTCTAAACCATTCAAAATATATATTTAGTTTAACAAACGCGGCTATATAAGAAAATACAGTGATATTATAAAACGAAAGTATAGTATTTTTCAGAATGGGTGTACAAAATATCATTTCAAAAATGGCTGCTCAAACCGCGGGCACGGCAAAACAATAATGTAAAAAATTTTATTTAGTGTAGTGTAAAGAAGTCTTCCATTTTAGTATTAATAATTAGAATATACTGTGTATTGAATAGTTTTAAAAAATCGATGTCTTCCTGTTACGTCAATTTTGACATACTTAATATAAAATAAAATAAATATTTAGTCGGAGATTCAATATTTTACGGTCAAATAAAATAAAAAAAATGATAAATCTGGGGCGTATAAAGTTACCACCCATCAAGAACGTGCTGGATGTGGCAATGCAGACTGTGAGGCAGCAGGTGCCCGATAAATCTGGACAGCCATCGCGCCCGCCGCAGAACGTTAGATTTGCTAACACGGGTAATTTTAAATATCTTTATTATTTTTAAAATCCTTTATAAAAATATATAAGTTTTTATTAAAATGATTTAAATTACAAGAAATATGTCCTAAATATTGTCGTGACTACGTATTTAATTTTAGTTTCGATACAACTATTATGTAAGAAGCTTTATTAACAATATGTTATTTTACTTTCAAATGTTTTTTTCTAACACTGATATTTTAACTTACCTCAGATATGGGTGAAAGCTGTGAACTCTCAACAATGAACGAAACAACGTCACCAACATACCAATCTACAAACCCCACCAACCCATTTCTAAGTGGTCAACTACAAGCTGAAGATTCTTTTACCAGCTATCAGAACACTTATCCACAACAAGATGGTGCACCAAGGTTAGCTATTCAAAAAAGCAGACGACATTGAAAATAATAATTATTGACCCAGTGTCACTAATAAAAGACACAGTACTTACTATATTAACTGTAAATCTAAAATATTTTCAGGACACAAAGCATGCAAAGTGTAGATTTTTATGCCTCATCAGAAGAAGGCGGCTTTGAAGAAGGTGGTGGAAAACCTGGTGCTAAAATTAATGAATTTCAAGCTGCATGGAATGTTACCAACGCTATTCAGGTTCATATATAAAATTCTTTACATATTTTTACTATCCCTTTTTTTAAATTATTATAACAAATTAATTCTTTCACAGGGCATGTTCGTGGTATCGTTGCCTTTCGCTGTACTTCAGGGAGGATATTGGGCAATAGCAGCCATGATTGGTATTGCTCATATTTGCTGTTATACAGGTAAAATCCTCGTTGAATGTCTATATGAAGATGATCCTGTATCAGGACAGCGCGTTCGTGTTCGTGATTCTTACGTGAGCATTGCCAAAGAGTGCTTTGGAAGAAAATATGGCGCAAAAATTGTCAATATTGCCCAAATTATAGAACTTCTCATGACCTGTATTCTTTACGTCGTCGTATGTGGTGATCTAATGATCGGTACCTTTCCGGATGGTTCCATCGATACCCGTTCTTGGATGATGTTAATTGGTATATTTTTGCTACCGTTGGCATTTTTAAAATCTTTAAAAAGCGTCAGTATGTTGTCTTTTTGGTGTACAATGAGCCATCTCATAATCAATGCGATCGTTCTTGGCTACTGTGTTCTTTACATTGGCGATTGGGGTTGGTCGAAAGTTAAATGGTCATTAGATTTCGAAAATTTTCCTATCAGCTTAGGTGTTATTGTTTTCTCCTACACATCGCAAATATTCTTACCCACTTTAGAAGGCAACATGGAAGATCGATCTCGATTTGAATGGATGTTGAATTGGTCGCATATAGCTGCAGCAGCTTTTAAATCTATCTTTGGATACTTATGTTTTTTGACATTTCAAAATGATACTCAGCAAGTGATTACTAACAATCTACGCTCAGCTGGTTTTAAAGGGCTAGTTAACTTTTTTTTAGTGGTCAAAGCTGTACTCAGCTATCCATTGCCCTACTATGCTGCATGTGATTTAATGGAGCGCGTTCTGTTTAGAGGAAAACCAAAGACTATATTTCCACCAATTTACGCCTTAGATGGAGAATTAAAAGTTTGGGGACTCGGTTGGAGGCTTGGTGTGATAATGTTTACTATCCTCATGGCAATTTTCATTCCACATTTTGCTATACTCATGGGTTTTATTGGAAGTTTTACAGGAACAATGTTGAGTTTTATATGGCCAGCATATTTTCACCTTAAATTGAAAGGCAACCAATTAGAAAGCACAACTATTGCCTATGATTACTTTATTATAGGACTCGGCGTACTCTTCGGTATCATTGGGATGTACGATTCAGGCTCTGCACTTATAAAAGCTTTCAAGATTGGTTTGCCATTTTAATTAAATGTAGCGTTTTAGATACCTATTGTTGAACTATTTTTAGATTAACGCATTTACTTCACGTAAGTTCTGCACACTTGCAATATGTCTTAAATGTTAAACGCCAAATGATATCTAGTCTGATGTGATTGAATTTTTATGTATCTTAGCTCTTTAGATGTAAGATAAAGTACTAGCTGTTACGTTAAAATGTTCAAATGTCTTCCGATCATATAACATAGGTTTATGTATATACTTAGATGTTTAAATTAATATTAACAAACTATATAAAGGAATCCAATGTCTTCCAAGATACATGTTCGAAACTGTTCGACAACGAAGTCTTCCATATTATAATTATCTGTAATCTTTTAAGAAAAATGTCTAAATGTAAGGTAAAATGACATATACCAGCACAATAATAACAAAAAGTCACGTCTGAAAAAATGACGTTTTGTTTAAAGGTACCATTTTATTAAAAATTTAATAAGTTTATAATTTATTAGCAGATTTTAAAATATTTTTAATATAAAAGTGCAATATTATAATATATTATCCATTAATGTACCTATTGGCGGAGAATAGATAGCTAATGGAAGTTTTAAAACAACAATAACTATTTAGTTAATGGCCCGGCTACACGCTCCGCTTGCCTGCGAGCATGCCTGCACAAACCAGCTTGCGAAGGTAAGGGAAGTCAAAATCGTCACAAATCAAAAAATGAGTGATATAAGGAGTTATTTAAAGGAATTTTCAGTTCATAGAACTTATTGTTGCCAGCTCTCAAAACACAACTAACATTTCATAGGTCAGATTGCACGAGCTTACCTGCACGTGTGGTCACTACTACTCAGTGTGTGTGTTCAGGTCAACTACACAGTGTTCCGTCTTTTTGTACAGTCCTGATTGCGCAGGCAAGACGGAGCATGTAGACGGGCCATAACAGTAACTTTGACAGTACTAATTACGTTACCATAAGTCGACATTGAATATACCCTCTATATATTGATAGGTACTTTATAACCGATAAAGAATGCAAGTAACTTAGTTCTGCGTTGTATCTACCCGCCGCCAATACATATGTATACCTATCTAATATAACTAATTGTTGTTGACTATATATCATAGAAGTAAATATATGTTGTTTTATGTGTAGAGTAAGGCTATTGAGTGCTAGAAAAAGCTAAAATATTATCATAAATAAAATATGAAGATACCATGACAATAACAAATAATATTTATATTAAATAATAATTTTTAATATAATTTCATATACATTCAATAATTTTACGTTTAAATGATTTAAGCAAACTGAACGCAGTGGTTGCAATTGAAATATATTTTTACAGAAAATTTACAAAATAATTTTTAATAGGTATAAATCTTTATAGTATTATAATTTATTATATATACCGAAATCTATTCCATTAATTTTATATGTATGTACTTTAATAATATATAGGCAAAGATCATATTAAATTCTGCCTGTCACATGTCTTCCAAATAAAAAATATGAATTAAAAAATACCTAAAGGAATTGATTGTTATAAAATTAAAAAAAAATAGACATCTAAATAATCTGTCGGTTAGCTCTACTTACTAAGTAGAACGTCATTTCAATTTTATTGTTATTTTGAGAACATAGAAAAAAATCAACGTGATTTTTTCTTCTGTTACAAATTAACTCGATGTAACGCTTATTTAAAACAATTAGTAATGTAACCAAATGCAATAATGTTTTATAAATACTCAGTACGCATGTATTGTGGTGAAAAGTTCTAGGTGTGTATTTTAAATACTATAAAATGTTATTCGAATATTTGTTTTATTTATGAAGCCTTTATTACTTGCATTTAGTTTACAAAGTACAAACTTTTTCTATAATTTATACTAATACTAGCATTGCCCGCGGCTCCGCCCGCGTTCAGATGACCAAAAACTAAATTCTTAGGTGTTACATATTAGTATACTCTTACATTGCAGTTTTTGTATTTTTCCTCAGAAATAAGATATTTTCCCGCGGTAAAAAGTATCCTAGGATCGCGCGCTACATCGCCCGGTTTATATAGCTTGAGCAGGCGGTCGAGCGATGCGGGGCAGAGGGGATGGACTCGCCGTAGGCATCTCAATGCTCGCCAAGCATTAAAAATGTTTCGCTACTAATTACTTCTAACAACGATATCTCAAAAACTATTCATCTGATTGATTTAGTGTAAAGAGCAATTTTAATCTGCATTAAATGACTAAGCTAACTAAAATATTCATTTGGATAAGGATTAATACCGAACTAAAGAAAATAACTTTGAAAATAACGTAATGTTTTTAATTAAAAATGTTAACATAAAAGTGGTTATTGTAAGTCAACCGTAAGAGATAGAGATATGCTATCGCGGACTTTTTTGTAGCATTTTTATAGATTTTGAATTCTCTAGTACATTACTTAACTGTATCTTTGCTAGTTTACGCGGCGTTCGCGTGGAAAGTTCCCATTTGGCGAGATTTTTTGCGACCTCTTCAACATTTGTCGCCGTATTTCAGCTAATTTACATAAAAGCATAATAAATTATATACCTAAACCTTCCTCAAGAATTACTCTTTCTATTGTTGAAAACCGTATAAAAATCCGTTCAGTAGTTTTCGAGTTTATCGCGTACAGACAGACAGGAGGACAGACAGGAGGACAGAAAGACGCGGCCGGGGGACTTATTTTTATAATAAGTATAGATAGATAGATAGACTACTATAAAAAAAGATACCTGTACTAATTGCTAACAATGAGTTCAAAGTTGCCAAATTTTCATAAATACATATGTTCAAAATTAAATTTAAATAGAATTTAAGCACAAGCTACATGTTGTGTGTTATCTACCCGTCACATAAAACGAACGCTGGCTGTTTAATGCGCACTGAGCGATTTATAAATAAAATTGTCGGTATGAATGGCTCGCGACAGGGGAGTACCTATTATGATTCTACAGTAAAACAATTAACACTTATATTATAAAACAATATAGGTACTTCTATTTTAGGACGCGACTGCATCCGTCACCGCGTGCGCAGACATTCCCTCCACTGTCGCTCAGCGTTCTTTTAACGTGACGGGACCTACTTATACAAAAAAAAATAAACTGACATACGAAGAACTTTCTCAAAGAGACTTCTCAATGAAAATCATAACTCTATTATTATACTTTTTTGAACATGTTCATAAAATAAGCATGAGCCCGGTTCTACCAACTCTCCCTCATAAAATTGAAAGCAATCTAAACTAAAATGAAACAGCCTTAATTAAGCATACCAATTACAAAGTTAAAACCATTTTACAGGAAAAAAGAAATACATTTTTTTTTTAATTAATTGGGAGTACATGGTTCCGTCCATTGTTGCAATGATGGCAAAATGGACGGATCTATTCGTGTACGCGTTTTGCTTGCGATATGTATCGCTTTCTTACAATTAACGGTAAGTGGGTAAATCATTTTGTCGGAGATATTTTAATCAAAATAATTGCATAATACGGGTAATAAATTATGAATGTTAAAATTCAAATAGTTCGATATATAATGACAATAGAGAATTATAGATGACTGTACTTCATACGTTACATGAATTTAATTACCTTTAATCATAAGAATTTATCATTATTCATCCAGCTAGGATGAATAAGAATAGGAGGCTTGTTTTATTGACAACAACTGTTCAAAATTAAAACACTTTTTTGGTTGAATATAGGTATAAAAAATATTAATTCTATTAATAGTATTAAACGTATTCAAATTCAATAATGTTTAATGCTTTAAATGATTATGAATTCTTTACTGAATGCCATGAGACATGAGTCTGCAACTATATCTATACATATAATAAAATTCGAAACTGTATATATTAAATATTTTTTCGAAAATCATATTTATTTCTCAGACCAATGAAGAAGTATTTTTCTATTGGTGTGAGATTTATATAGTCATTATTATCGATACACTGGCCGAATATATAGTTTTTAGAATTTTTGTCTGTCTCTCAGTCTGTCTGAGAACGTATCACGAGAAAACCACGGGACAGATTTTGATGAAATTTGGTATGATGATAGCTGGGTATTCGAGTCAACATACAGGATATTTTAATTTTTACTCCGAGAAAATATCTCATCTCCAAGAAATCTCTACTAACCGTTAAAGCGTTCCTAGGAACGAACCCGAGCGGTGTGAGGATGACTCACTAGTTTTAAGAATAAAATTGCAAAATATCCTTATCCGTCTTATATTTTTCGTAAACTAGTCTTCCTTTCTTCTTTGATAGACACCATACAATATTCGCAATCATCCATGCTGTTTAGAACCGAACGAGAACCTCACTCTTGCTATGATCATAGATGCTTTTGAAATATACGGACACGACCCTACTGATAAGCTTGACAACTTGTGGCTTTATCAAAATGAGATGATGAGGATCAAGACTGCTGAAGATCAAGTATGAAAGAGAAACTATAGCTTATGCTATTATATGACTATGGCTTACTTTTTTTAAATTGCTAATGCTAACACCTAATTGCGTGTAGATACACATTTTTTTTCTTATTCAATTAAAATATGAATGCAAAAGTAAACTTAATAAAGTGCAATAATACTTCTTGCTTATACAGTATTTGATCAACGAAAGGGTTCACATAGCGACTGATCATTTGGGGCGTTTTATAAAATTACACATACAGGAATTAAAGGTAAAAACTAAATAATATATATTTTTTATATGCAAATATTCCTTAAAAAATGGAAAAAATTAGTTCAAAATGTTAAATACATAAATAACAAATAATCCACGCTTGACCTCTGTATAAGGAGTTACCAGAAAAATAGCTTTTAGACAGGTTGCGTACATTGATTTTGATCGGGAATCTTAGGGTGATAATATCGGCCCACAAAAATTCACAGGTCCTTCTTATAACCCTAGACGATGTCATCGACAATATGCTCACCATGTATGAAAACCATAACTCGATAGCTGCGGAGAGGAAAGCAACTTACACTGGTGGCCCTGTCCCTATGGAATTTTATATCAGCCAAGGTAACTTTTGACCGACATCAAATAAGGAAAGTGCGACTACTTCAATTATATTTCTTTTTTCTTATGTTACGTAGTATCTTCGCCAATAATATTAAATGATTTTAATTATTCATTTTAAATAATAGGGACCTAGTTTTATTTTTTTAACTTAATGAAAGCAACTTGAAGGCGCTAATATAAAGTATAAATTATAAATCTTTTACTAAGTAATTTTCAGCACGTAAGCTGCATCTAACAAGCAGCAAGTATACGATATATTTATTTATTATTATTGCTATACTCAATAGTCATTATCATTTAGTTACAACATTTTCTTAACTAAAGGAGTTTCTTAACTAAAGGAGAAAAAAATGAAGGACAACCGGCTATTTTCTCTACGATTTTTTATACTTATAAATGTTTTATTTTTAATATGTTCACTTAATTGTTACAGAATTTTACTGCGGCAAAAATGTCTATTTATTTTTATCCGAACTGTACAGTGACATTTACAATATGGGCAAAGGTTTAGCCCCGTATTGTAAAGACCGTTCATTTGTTTTTTTGGGATTTTTACATTATCATGACGAGCAGAAATACTACTTGTTAGATGACCCGAGTATATCCTTCCCTACTGATAATTATTTACATGGACTGGAATGTCATATTGGTATTTGTATATTTAGGTAAAATGATGCATTAATCAATATATTATAAATAGATTTCATTTATTTTTTTACGGAATTGGAACATTTAATTTTTTGAGCGGATCTCTAATTATTTTAAAATAAAAGTAAGTAAGCTTAAGTTACTCCTTATAACATCAGCTATCTGCCAGTGAAGTCCCGCTAAAATCAATCCAGCCGTTTCGGAAATTAGTCGAAACAAATAGACAAACAGACAGACAAAAAATATAAAAGTTGTGTTTATCTTATAAGTGCTGTATAATATGATTTCATATGCATTTAATAAAAAGCTGTTATTTTGACATTACAAACAGACACTTCATTTACCTACTAATCTAAGGTGAAGTCAATTCTTAAACAGAGTAATAGATTGCAATAACTGTTCATAGAAAACTGTTTGCTCTTTAAAAAAATCTGTCACTTAAAACCGCCAGCAGGCCATGGTACACACCGTCAAAATCTAGGAGGAAAACAAAGATGAAGATTTATCTATTCTAGCCACGTAGCAAAAATACATGACCATGAAAAAAAAATACAACGACATTTTATATAAAAAATCATAAATACTATAAGTAGTATTTATATTTAAATAAAATGCATGTTCGTATGTTTGTCCTATATGCGTTCCTAAATCATTGATCTAATTCTGATGAAACTCTGGTGGATTGTTCTATATACGCCTGCGAAGGTTTCTGGTGCAAAAAAAGAGGTGTTCTTTAAACTTTTGTCTTTTATGCATTCCTAAACCATTCAAGTTTCGCACTCGAACGGAGAGAGGGTAAATCGCTAAAAGAAAATAATCATTTAAGACAAAATTAAATATACATAATATGTTATCAGATTTCCATTTAAAAAAATACTGCAAAGAGATAGAGATATATCGACGCTACCAAAAGCAATCGTCAAATGTGGTCTTGTTATGTACAAACTACCGCCGTTGACAGCTTCTTCATGCATTATCACCTCTGGCTCATTTATATTGGACTTCAACATACAGGGGTTGCGGTATCGACATTATGATTATTTATTGGTAATTATTTTTGTTAAAATTATAAATGCATAAGTATGTCTGTCTCCTTTTTGACCAAATAACTAAGCTGATTTAAATATAGTTCATCAACGCCCAGACCAAATCGCTGGATCTAAAAATGTTTTTTTTTAAATTCAACTACATAAAAGACGAAGAATCATGGAGGTTTCAGTTGCGTCCCGGATCCGAGACTGTGAGAGCAATCTCCGACCCCCTAACACCCAGGTTGTTGTAGACGGGATAGGGTGATATCCATTGTCATTAAAAAAAAATTAAATTCCCATGACGGGTGATTTGAGTTGAGGGGGTGCATATTCAGTGGGCAGCCGAGCTTTATCGCTCAGAATAGGGTCTTCCTCGGTAGGCCAGCCTTCGGTTCAGAAATAAAATAAAATTTACTATTTTAACAGACTACTCCCAATGGCAATACTTACTACACTAAAGAGCGTCACACGCCGCTAGTGTGTGATCATCACGTTTGTGAATGGAACTACACAAATCACTATGGTGGTTAGTATCTATATACATTTTTAATCTATCTATATATATAAAAATAATGTTTGCTCGTATATTAGTTCTTAAACGTTGGTGAGTTCTATCTAGCCCAAAAAAATCGTAGTATGTAAGTTCTCAATGCGTTCATACCCTCGAAGTACCTACAGCCGAGCAAAGTGAGGGTAAATCGCTAGTTCAATATAAAATGTACTTAAACCTCAGGTATTAATACAAACAAACAAACAAGATATACTTAAAAATGTATCTGAAAGTAACATTAATGAAAAATATAAATCAATATGAAACAGCTTTATAGGTATAATGGAACTAGCGCGGCCGCGTGCAGGTGACCAAAACCAAATGCTTAAGTTTTACATATTAGTACTCTTATAATGCAGTTTTTGTATTTTTTCTCAGAAATGCGATATTTTCCGGCGGTAAAAATTATCCTATATGTTGATCCGGATAACCAGCAATTACCATACCAAATTTCATTAAAATCCCTCCAGTGGTTTTTCTGTGATGCGTTACTTTTACGTTACGTTAACGACAGACAGAGAAAAATTCTAAAAACTATATATTCGGCCTCTGTATCGATAATAATGTTTATTTCAATAAGATTTTCCAAAAAATATTTAATGTACAGATTCGGCTTAGTTACAATTTTATTATATGTATAGATTAGTACGATAATAATATTATTATTCATTATTGTTCATATTATTATTATTATTATAATCAGTACGTACTATTTAATTATTATCTGTATTATATATTTATAAATTGTAAGATCAACAAACGAATTTTGCAGGACCGTTTTTAATCCCGGGTGATCCTGGCACGGGAATAGACCCCGTACCACCCTACATAGAGACTACACCTAAACCCGAAGAACCAGATGAGGAGGAAAACGTCACCGTTCCTTGTAAGTTATTAGATTTAGGGGAAGGCAACCGGGATTCAACCCTAGGGTATAGCCCTTTTTTTAACGTTGGGAAATGTATTTAGGCATACCACCTGCATACGAGTACATACGGGTGGTTGTGTGAGACTCAACGGCAAAGCCAGTACTACCCACTAAAACCCAATGGAACCTTCCTCGTCTTAATGAGGCGTCATAGGATCGCTTACGCACTCAACCACGTCGCCCCGACGGCAAGTCTGGGGCCACAACAACCATGGGGTTGCTCTAACAGTCCACTCCGCTATGAGAGAAGTACCAGGAGCAACCCGCATTGAATACCACCCACCAAGGTGGGCCGCCTCCCAGTGCGTTTCTTGGCTTCGCGCCCGGCTATATTGCCGGTAGCTTATAATTGTCCACCCAAACCATCGCCCCACCCTAACCATCGTCCCACCCTCCCACCAGGACAAGATGAACGTACATTGGGGGGAAGAGGGTGGGTGTCGTCTTGTAGATTAGAGCCCTACCACTTGAGTTGATTTCTAGTTATATTTTTTGTGACTTGCTCGTTCGAATTTTGTCCTGCATCTTTTCGGTAGGTATCTAAGGAATCTGCTCACCAGCACCACATACCTTTATTTATAAACTAGCATTGCCGGCGGCTCCGCCCGCGTTTAAATGACCAAAAACCAAATTCTTAGGTTTTACATATTAGTAAACTCTTACGATGCAGTTTTTGTATTTTTCTCAGAAATGAGATATTTTCCCGCGTTAAAAAGTCCTATATGTTGACCAGGACATCCAGCTATCATCATACCAAATTTCATCAAAATCTGTCCAGTGGTTTTCTCGTGATGCGGTAACAGACAGACAGACAGACAGACAGGCAGACAGACAGACAGACAAAAGTTCTAAAAACTATAGATTCGGACTTTGTATCGATAATAATGTCTATTTCAATTAGATTTTCCAAAAAATATCTAATGTACAGATTCGACTTAGTTACAATTTTATTATATGTATAGATAAAACGTTTCTTTATATTTCTAAGATGTCGGGAAATGCATTTACGCATACCACCTGATCCCCCAGGTGGTGATGTGGGGCTCACCGGCTAGAAGAGCCGGTACTACCCACTAAAACCCGACATTCCCCTCCCCTCCGCCTTAATGGGACGCCGCAGGATCGCTTGCGCATAACTACTACGGCGCCCCGGCGGCAGGTCTGCCTAAACGCTAGGCAGACCACCAAACCGATGGGGCTGCTCCACAGTCAACTCTGCTACGCCAGAGAGGTACCCGGAGCAGCCCCATGAAACCTAACCACCGCCCACCGAAGTGGGCCACCTCCAATCGGCTGCAGAGGACAGGGAGAGCGGCAACGAAACACCGACACTCCTCTTCCCCTGCAGCCCCACCGCGTCCGCCATCAAACGGTGGCGGCCCCGTCTAGGCCGCGGAAGGTAGGGAGAACGGCGCACCGAAATACCGGCACTCCTCTCCCGCCGCGGCCTACCCCTCCGCCGGATGCGGGCCTGCGACCACAGTCCCGCAACCGGCACCCATCATCCGGTTGTGGGACCAAGCGGTCCCACCACCGGTGGCCGCAACGTCTTCGGCTCGAGGCCTAGACGAGCGGCCCCATCCAAGCCATTTGGTCCGCGCCGGATTTCTCCGGTACCACCCGCCGCCCTAAGCGGGTGGCATTCCCCTATCCGCCACCTGGGGACGCGCCCGGTAGGAGTTGGCTTCTCCCCCGGGATATTTCTAAGAACCCTGGGATAACCCATTGAGCTCGTGATTATTTTCATAATTCGTCCAAAACATGTAATAATTTTGTCAAATTTGTTCGAACGTCTACGATGATCACGGGTTTTATTTCAGTAGAATAAATAATCTCATCACCCATTTATCACACTTTGATTCGCAAATACCAGATCTACTTGATACTTCACAAGCGTCCATTTTCACATAAGATTTCAAAGGGCCTTGACTACAGGGGTTTTTTACCACTTATAAAGATAAATGTTATTTAAATTCGCAAACACACCTCAAAAAGAATTATTATATTTGTAGTTTCACATTGAGTAAATAATACCTATTAAAGAATAATTTACTTTCAGATATTCTTGACGGATGTTTATTCATGTACCCTCCTAACTATGGATCGATAGCTGGTAAAAGTTACCTAGACCCCGTAGAGCTGCATGATGATAGATTCACCTGTAACGCCGCGGGAGGAAGTAAAGTAAGTTTTATAAATAATGATTTAAATTCGCAAACTAAAAAAATATTAACTAATACTAAAAAAATATTAAAGTGTTTCTAAGAAACACTTTCCTATACCGGTTTTTATCCAACAAAGTTCTAAATAAAAATTAATTACGTGTATATCGAACCTATGCACTCCAATTCTATAACCGAACAATAGCTTTATATTTATATAAAAATTAATGTACGTTTGTCTGTTTGTAACGTAAGCGTTTAATAATTTTAGACTTAGTAGCCCAACTGGTAAGTTAGTGTGTGGACTTTACAAACACTAGACAGATCGCTATCTGACAAACATTGATATATTTTCTAACCGACGAAAAATAAGAAGGTTGTCAAATCGACACGTATATTTTCTTTTTATGTTTAACTTTTTACAGTGTAGTCCGATTTCAATAATTCTTTTTTAATTGGATAGAAATTAATCCCATTTAAATTTGAAAAAATTCACCCCGAATTTTCTGAAATAGGAGATGATTGATTTTTCACCTAATGAATTTTTACAAAAATACTTCTTAATTTTCTACATTAAAAATGGTAAAATAACCTCGGTGCTGGCACCGACTTCGAAAAGATCTGATTAGGTATCTATAGTAAATGAAAATGACCAATCAGTTATTTTTTACTTTTTAGAGTTCTTTTTTTGAAGTCGGTTTTCATTTTTTGTACATATATCAATGGTGACAACAATGATTTTTGTTTATCTGTGGAACTAGTTTTCTTTATTATTCTTATTCTATCTTGAATCATCAATATTTGTGTTTTTTGTTAGTATTCTCATTCATAAATTGTCACCCATATTTGTTGTAACAGGGTCTATACTGGTATCCACAATGGATGGGTGCTATGCCTCATCACCCCTATCCCACTTTAAATGATGATAAAGGAGCTTTCGAACCTCCCGGCGCGTTCTACCCGCATCAGAACTACGATATGAATGAAGACGACTCGGACAATTAGATATAACTTGTTAATAAATAATACATATTATTATTAATAAATATATTTTTTTCGTTTTATTTTTAGTATTATATACATAATATATCCTATATCCATATTGGTAACTGTTAATACTTAACAGCGGGTTTTTAAATTCGACTCTTAAAAGAGGTTGCCATGTCCGAACGTTATAAGAGTAAAAGTGTGACTAACCCAAAAAGTCCAAGAACTTTCGTGTTACAATCCTAACCACGTTTTTTTTACCTAAATTCATGGTTCAGAATAAAACTGATATATACATGACACCTTATAGTCCAAGATCCTTTTTTTTCTTTTTTTTTAACGTTGGGAAATGCATTTACGCACGAGGTGTGGGACTCACCGGCAAAGCCAGTACTACCCACTAAAACCCAACAAAACCATCCCCCGTGTTAATGGGGCGTCGCAGGATCGCTTACGCATTCAACTACGACGCCCCGACGGCAGGTCTGCCAAAGCAGACCACAACAACCATGGGGTTGCTGAAAAGTCCGCTCTGCTATCAGAGAAGTACCAGGAGCAACCCGCATGGTACACCGCCCACCGAAGAGGGCCACCTTCCACCGCCCACCGTAGTGGACCACCTTCCTGTACGTTTCTTGGCTTCGCGCCCAGTGGATTGCCGGGCACTACTGAGCCCCCCCACCACGACAAGGTGAACCCACGTTGGGGGGAGATAGTCCAAAATCCTAGGGCCGCCAGACGTCACGTATTTTATTATATTTATTATAGAAAACAATATAACATCTCTCCTTTTTTTTAATGGCTAGGAAGACACGAATGAGATTGAGCGGTAATTTTGAAATTTGGTAACCATATTGTGGAATTAAAACTATAAATGAATGATCGGTCTACAGGAGTAACCTACAACAATAGAAAAATAATTACGTAATACAAAAATGACACATTGATTGATCGCTTCTTCTGGTGACAAGAGAGCTGGCTCGTATCTAATGACAGCTTCCATAGAAGAGTTTTGATTGTTTAAAAAATATAGAAATACAAAAAAAGTGAGTGCGTGTAACCTTTACGCGCGGTTGACGTAAAACTTTTTTGGCGCTGTGACAGATACGAAAATTAAATGAAAAGAAATCAAAATATAATTAGAATAATTTTTATAAAAATATAAATATATGTATTTTATTGTAAATTAATAAAATGGAAAAGTAATAAAAAAATTAAAATTATTTTGTATACTATTAAAAATATTGTCTAATTTTGAGTAATAAAATTAAAACAAGAACAGTAAAAACAATGATTTTATAATTCTTCTCATATGAATCATCTGTACATTCTTGCAACATTCATTTAAAGATAACTTTCAAGAAACTTTCTCTCAATTTGACTACCTCTTGGTAACACAAAAAATGCAGGAGTACCAACTTTTAGTTCAAAATATTTTGTCACCAAAATATTTCCTAAATTATTTCCTGGATTTATTATATGAGGCATTTTATCATAACCTTCAAAATATACATTTATACTATTACATTTATATTTATTTTCTTCATCCCAAGGTGCCGGAAATAATTGTTCTAATTGATTAATTAATGGTGCAGTCTCCGGGCAGCCTTTAACAAAATCTGTCATTTGGTATTCAGGATACAATAAAAGCACAGGCCACATTAATACACCATTTTCTATGTGAACAATTGAATCTTGGGCACCTGGTAATGTAGGCTCTAGCTTAGATAAATCTAAATCATCTTCATCATCACATTTTGATACTTTAATACCTCGTTGGATTATTGCCTTTATAAGTTCTTCTTTCTGTTCAGCTTGCTTTGAAACAATTCTTTGTTGCTTTCTCTCGTCTCTCTCTCTCATACTCTTCTTCTTTTTTGCATTATTTAAAAGTTCTATGATTTCTTTATCACTATTTTTTTCTTCTAACTTCTGACAATGTTCTATACATGTGTCATATTTGCCAGCTTCTAATGCTGCTTTAGCAGCTCTTAATCTAGCCTTTGCATGTTGTGGGTCAAAGGATAAGGCTTTTTCACTATCAAATAGAGATGACCTATAATTTTTCAAGTACCAATGTGCAGCTGCTCGGTTATTATATAAACTCGCATTTATATCTGCATCACCACATTTTACTTTTATACCTTCAGTATATCTGTAACAATATATTAAAATGAATTATGGAAGTGACTGCTTTCTTCCATTTTATTCTTAAATATTATTCGTAAATATATTTACTAAAATTGTTAATAATTAAATAATAGGATATATAGTAACTAGTTTATTATAGAATCCTTATAAATAAACTAAAACTATGCTAATTGAATTTAATTAAATGTGCATACCCCATTATAGCCAATCTGTAGTTTTTATGTTTAAAATTAAAGTTTCCATCTTCTTTGTAACTAGATGCCAGTTCTAGAGGTGTATTCTCATCAGGGTCATACTTAAGTTTGGCTAATCCCTCTGCTAATGGTGAAAGTTCTCCGTCTTTAGGTGTTTCCTTCATAAAGAAAGGATGTTTGTCCATTTCTTCCTGATAATATCAAAAATAGATTTTTATATTAAATTTTAATAAAACAGACTGGTGAAGGCAGGGCGATATTCAAATATATATATATATATAAAATTTAATAATGTGTCATACATACCTCCCAATTTTCCTCTGTCCATCCATCTGTGTATGTTTTCTTTTCCAAACTATTTATAAAATCATCAAGCTCTTGATCTAACTTTTTACAAAGTTCAAGTCTCTCCTCATCAGTCACAGGAGCTTTCTTGTTTACTTCAGTTTTGTCACTCATCGTTAAATTTCCTTTAACTTTAAATTATATTACATAAACGATTTTAACGCATGTATTATAGGTTTTTTTATAAATATTATATTTATTTATTAGTATATTATTATACAATTTTTAATTATTTTGATCGAGCATGTGATAATATACTCGTATTAATTGCATATTTCACTGATATTTGCTAACATCAAGCAATAAGCATTAAGCATGGTGTAATTTTATATATGTAGCAATAAACTCTATGGGTGTAATGATGCAAGTGACAACTGACAAGTGACAACTGACAATTTACACTTGGCAGAAGTGACCATGGATGATAAATAAAACAATGGATGATATATAAAAGTAGTGACAGTACCATATGAATTGGGAAGTGACAACATTCAATCAATTTATTTCATCGATAAAGATATATAAAAAAAAGATTTTTAAAGTAAAATATCAAAGGAAACAATGTTTTAACATATCTTGAATACCAAACTACATGTTTTACTGTCGTTTCAAAAAAATAGACATTTACATAATATACTCTCTTGAGATCCATTCTGAGAAAAAAAGACAGATAAACATAATATGAATGTGTTGATTACGGAGAACGCTCAGTAGTTTATTTTTTATATTCTTAACACTGTATAGTGCGTTTCAGTAAAGTTCCCTTCGTGGTTATATTGGCTACACTGGCTTCAATGTTGCCATATCTTGATGTAAAATTACCAACTATTTATGATAATCGTATTCCCCGATTTTTGATATGTTGTTCTGGTGCAATAAATGTTTAAGCTATCTACATACCGATCTACGTAGGCAAGACGCAAGGTTGCTTTTAGATAAGGTATTTTACTCTTAAAACTTGATTAAATATTAATTGGTTTGCTATATTTATTTACGCTAAAATGTTCTTAGTTATTTAAAAAACTAAAACAATAATAAAACAACACTGATTTTTATTCAATGTAATTTAGCCAGTATTAAAACATGAAAACATGGAATTTATTTTAATACGCATGGTCCATTTCAATAGGAGTTAAACCTGAAATTATACTATCACAATCACTGTCGTTTCACTGTCTCTTACTTCAATAATGAAATTATCCAATTCTTTATCCAATTCTAAATCATTGACATAATATTTTTCTTCAATAGCTCTGACGTGATCACATTCTTCTTTTCGAACAGCATAAAATTCATCAACTTTATGACGTATAACACATAAGTCAAAGTCATCCAATTTAACTCTCTTTTCGTGTGGGCGTGATTTTCCCGGAGTTGAAATTTTTGTAGATGTACTTGCGGCAACTGCACCTTCTTGACTTATTTTAGTCACCGTCTTTTCTGATATACCTAAAAGTAAAATAAAATAACGTTCAGACCTAATGCATCATTTCCAATGTAAGGAAATTATTAAAATAATACTTATTAGTAAACTAAGTATTACTTATGAAATAATTATTTTTCCATATAATATAATTACGTATTTTCGGGACTAACATCTGCTTATGGCAACACCATTTTACTAACCTGTCATTGCCGCTACCGACTGCGAACATTTTGAAATGGAATAAGAGGAGCTTTATTAGCTTTTTCACGTTCACAAAACTTTTTAACTTTGAGAACCAATTCTCTTTCACCACTTCTTAATGTCTTAGGAATGATTGAAAAGTAAATCACACTAAAACAAATTAAAAACCTCGAGAGCTCTGAACACTGACAGTATTGACACAATAAGACAACCAGTGCTACCAACATTTAAAACAGAAGGGAACTCTTTTGTGAAACGCACTTTACTTGTAGTGTGTGCCTCGAAAATCTCACACGCTTCCGAAATCCGAGTTCCGACTTCCGCTTCGTTCATCATTCTCACTTCTCAGTACAAATTACAAAATAACCTATAAAGTTATATTAATAAAAGTTGTCTGTTTTGTTTAATACAGTTTACCAAATTTAAATATAGTTAATGTGTGTAACGCTATATAAAAACAGCTATTTTAACTATGCAGAGAAAATCCAATCCAAGAGTTAATAAAATTTAGTTTTTGCTAGGTCTTGAGAAAAAGTATTATGATTAATAAATAAATAAAATGTTTTGATTTTTCACTAACTGTTTTTACTCATATTAACCTTATCCCTACCTAATATTTAATATTACGGACTAGTTAAATACAAACAAATAACTTACGATATATCGAAAATACGGGATTTTTTTAGGAGGGACAAATATTTAGGGTCTTTTTAGGAGTTTATAAAGTTTTGGTGAAGACTCGAAAAACTTATATCCCTTTTTTATTATTTTCTATGTTATTTATGGAATTTATTATTATTTTTAAATGGCTATATGTAATTATTATAATAATAGCCATAAATAAGTTTTTTACGCTATTAAAATTATAGAACAAATGAAAATATTATCAAACAACATGATGGACATTAATTTGTATAAGTAAAATGTTATCTTGCTGCAAACAAAAATATATAATCGCTACTATATTGTAATTGTTCTCACACTTTTTCGTTGTTGTTAGTTTATTGTTTTATTATTATTATTAGCTTATCATCGTCCACTGCTGAACGCAGGCCTCCCCCAATGTTATTGTATTTGTATAATATAAAAATAACCCAAAAGCCGGTACTATACTAGTAGTAACATAGAATGATATATTTTCAATGGGCATTTTACAACCTTGGGCAAATATAAATCTTTAGAATAAAAACTGATAAAATAAAAAAGTAATCTTATTATCTCAGCCTTAGAGGATTGTATAGTCTAAGATTTCAGCCTATACTATATTTAGTGTTTGAATGAAGATCTTCGTTCAGGAATGAGTTTTGAATGTAGATTCATAAACTACATTTGACATTTCTGAGTTCTTACGGACTTCTAAACTAAACTAAAAATATTTGTTGTGGTTATTCTTTGGGATAAGACGGCTTTAATTCACTATTTAATTATTATATTATATTTTAATTGCTTGTAGCTATTTTTTGGTAATGGTATCTTTATGATACTATAATATGTTCATGTTAAAATGTTTAATTTATCTCTAAAATAAATAGTGCCTGACATATTACAACCTTATTTCGATCCGTAAATACCGGTATAAAAACAAACCATGTCGGACGCATGGGAAGAAATTCAAGCAGTCAAAAGTAAGAGGAATAGCTTAAGGGAGAAATTAGAAAAAAGGAAGAAAGAGCGACAAAATATACTCGGTGCTACACTAACTAGTAGTGATAAAAATGAAGGCTCACCGGTTTCCTCTAGTGGGAAAGAGCGGGCTACTGCAAGCCCGGCATCGACTAAAAATGAAAGTAAATATAATGCCATGTAACCTATTAAACAATAGTAATTAATAAAAGGTCAACTCTTGAATCATTTTATCATATAATATCATACTTCTATTTTTTTAGGTCATGTCCCTATAGAAAAACCAAAACCAGTCCTATCTGCCTCTTTAGAGGTCCGCCTCCTCCAAGTGTTATCAGATATGCAATTGCAATTACCAGCTACTGCAAGTGCTTTAATGCCAGGTTTAGGTGATGTTGATACTGGAATTGTGGCAAGTTTATTACAGAAATTTGCTACACAAAAGCTTATTACGTAAGTATTCATTGGATTTAGTAAGAATTGCTTTAAATCATATTTTAATTAAAATATTTTTTTTATATATGTAATGAATGTATGTATTTTTTTGTTTACAGCATCAAAGAAAGAACTGAGAGCACAACAGATGCTAGTATAGAAGTGGTGAATGCAGAATCTGTGAGATTGGCAGCAGTGCTTGCTGCTTTGATGGAAGAGCAGTCTACCACAACTAAGAGAAAAGGTACATAAAAATTATATTTAAAAATAGTGTAAAAGTGTCTTTGTAGACATACTATCACATAAAAATATTATTTAATTTATATATTACCTACATTAATTGTTGTGTTCTAACATGCATAATTTTAATTAAAAAAAAGAAGACAAACATTCTAAATAGCAGCATTTTTTAATATGTGGCCTGTTGTGGCAAAAAAGCTAGTTTCTTAAAATGTTTTCATCTTATAGGAGACAGTAATGTTGAAGAAGGTCCCAATCCAAAAGTATCAAAATCTACAACAGATGAAAAGAAAACTGGAAAAGATAATACTGATATAATGGTTAGTATTTGACTTGCATTTGACAATTATTTTATTACAATTATCTTTTTAATATAAGATTGTTACTTATCACAATTTTGTACAGTCTTTACTAGCAATGCCATCAAGCCGTGAAAAAGCAGTAAAGAGGGTGGGTGAAGAGATAATGGATCTATTGAGCAAACCTACGGCTAAAGAAAAGTCTCTTGCAGATAAATTTAAAAGTCAAGGAGGTATGTTTATAGCGACAAAATATATTCAGTGCTACACTTTAAAAAGACTTGTACTTTAAATAGAGTGAAACCTCAGTAAAAATATTGGTCAAGTGTTAGTCTATCATTTCTGCTAAAATTTATTTTTATAAATTTTTTTACTGTAAAACATATTATGAAGACAGAATAATATGCATTTCAGGCGCACAAGTAATGGAGTTTTGCCCACAAGGCACTAGAGCAGAATGTGTCAGAGCATTCAAAGCCCAAGATGGTGACAAGCCGGACGCCACTTATGCATGCAAGAAATTACACTTCAAAAAGATAATACAGAGTCACACAGATGAAACGCTTGGAGATTGTTCATTCTTGAACACATGCTTTCATATGGATAGTTGCAAGTAATATGAAGTTTTTTGTTTTTGTATATTTTTTAAGGTTGGTAACATTGTGATTAATGATCCTTCTTTGGTTTTTTTAAATTTTGTAATACACACTATGTTAATATATATAATTCTTCTGTATGTGTGTTTGTTAACCTACTCCTCCTAAAGGACTGGACCAATTTGGATGAAATTTTGTGTGTATATTTCAATGGACTCTTGGATGGTTTGAAAACACAAATGGACCCAGTAGGTGGCGCTGCAGTTGGTGTGCCACTGATCATCTAAATGGCAGGGACGATTTGAATGATATTTTTTGTGTATGTGCGAGTGGGCCCCTGCAAGGCTTGAAAACACAAATGGACACCCAGTAGGTGGGTGGCGCTGCAGTCGGTGTGTCACTAAATTTTTATAAAAGACTCCATATTCCGACCAATAAATAAATTTAAATTGTTGATTAAATAAAATAAAAATCGATGTGTCTATGTATATTTCCTATGGAGTCCAAAACAGCTGAAGCGATTTTGATGAAATTTCCAAGTAATCTTCAGATTAGCCCAGTGGGTGATCCTGTGAATTTTGTTAGCGATCGGAAGTTAGGACGCGGGCGAAGCCGCGATCGAATTTTATGCAAAATTTCGATAATTGGGCGGCATTTTTAACTATGATTTTTGCGCGGCATATTTATTAGGCATTTTTTTCGACGTGGTTACCATGCCCAGGGGCGGCGGTAAGGTTAAGTCCGGCACTGTGCGCAGGAGATATCGTAGTGAAGCGCGTGTGTCTGTGTTCGCGCACACACAACGTGCACTCTTTGTTCCTGTCACATGTCACACTCGGTTAAGGCACGGGGGTGAAACACCGCCATCTTCCCAAGTCCGGTCTATTATTGAAAATTTCTTGACAGAAATACTAAATAACTGAACATGGCCCGACCCGGGACTCGAAGCCCCACCGAGGCAGTTACTGTTGTACTATGCCTCGGCCGCACTCATAACGACATTCGGGTTGTCGCGATATATGTAGCTAAATCTTCGTGAATACTTCATCAGCACTTCGGGCGAAGTCGAAGCTTATCATAACACTGAAACATTGTTATCTTATGCCTATCCAGGGAAAAAAATAAATAATTGTTGTACATGAAATAGATATTTCAATTTAATTGTTAAAAACACATTTTTATTTAATACTTTGCTGATTACAGGTATGTACATTATGAAGTTGATAATGCTGATCCTAATATAAGTGCGAAGCCGACCACAGAACCCACATCAAAGGCAGGACACAATGGTAAATTTTATTTTATTAAATTATAAACTACTAATTTATGCCGGCGGCTTCGCTTATAAAACATCATAAACAATATAAGCTACTTCTATTCTGAATCTCTCAAATAAATTGGCACCATAGAAAGTAAAAAGTAACAAAAAAACAGTCTCACAATTTTATAATATTAGCTTGGTATAATATTTATTTCTTATAGAAATGAGAAAATTGTTGCAAAAAAATAATAATAGATAAAATACACTAAAAGTGTAGATTTCCGCAATTTATTTAACTTTTTCTATACATATAATAAAATTCTAAGTCGAATCTGTACATTAAATATCTTTTGAAAAATCATAATGAAATAGTCATTATTATCGATAAAGAGGCCGATTCTATAGTTTTTATATTTTTTCTGTCTGTCTTGAAACGCATCACAAGAAAACCACTGGACAGATTTTGATGACTTTTGGTATGATTTTAACTGGTTATCTGGGTTATATAGGATACTTTTTACTGCGAAGAAATATCTCATTTCTTAAAATCTATCTACCTTTAAAAAGTATAATAGGGACGGACCCGAGCGGAGCGAGGGTGTGTCGCTAGTAATTTATATAAAAAGTTACATTTACATATTTTTTTATCAAGACTTACAGAAATTTATCTTTAATAATGGTCTAAATAATGATGATGGCGGCCTCATAATGAAAAAACGTTTTAATTTTTAACAATATATTTTAAGGTACAAATGTAGTACCAAAGCCGGATGGAGTGTTAACACTGACTCCCCCACAATGGATACAATGCGACTTGAGGTACCTCGATATGACTTTTTTAGGTAAGTTACAAATCCTCATAATAATCCCATAAAATATATCTATACATACTATATTATAAATTCGAACCCGGAAGGCTGAGCCGCTAGTGTATTATAAATGCGAAAGTTTGAATGGATATTTGTTACACATTCACGCCAGAACGGCTAAATGGATCTGGATGAAATTTGGCACAGAGATAGATTACAGTCTGGAATAGCACATAGGTTACTTTTTATCCCGGAAAAAAATGAACTGTTTCCGTGGAATAGATTTGTTTTTATTGTTCACTAGGGATGAACCCGAGCAAGGCGAGGGTGAGTCGCTATTTTAAATATATTTTTAAGGTCTATCCTCTTTTAACTGCTGAGCTTCCTGAATGATGATCAGCGGACTTCAATCGAATTTCATTTTTAATTGTATTTTCTTAAATTATAGAATATCTTTTCCTTCTAAAATAAATTATTTTTTAATTTAAAAAAAAATTATTAACACAAAAGTTCCTACAAATATATAATATTCTAAAGGAAATTTAAATAATGAGTTCTTTACCAAATTTCTATCATTTTTGGATAAGCGCCATCTATTAATCTATGATGAAACAACAATTCTACTATATTTTTTCAATTTTAGGTAAATTTGCGGTAATAATGGCGGACCCGCCATGGGACATTCATATGGAACTACCATACGGGACCATGTCTGATGATGAGATGAGGTGTCTAGGTGTCCCTCAGCTACAAGACCATGGACTAATATTTTTATGGGTCACTGGTCGGTGAGTGACACTTTTTGTATATGTATATGTCATATTATGTATAAATAAATATGTTGGGATATTAACACATAGCACCATCTATCATCATACCTATGTATATATTGTAATCTATCTATTGCATACTAAGCATCTAAAACGTACCGTAAACGTAACGTATTAATAAATTATTATAAAAAATATATACCAGGGCCATGGAATTAGGTCGCGAGTGCCTCAAGTTGTGGGGGTACGAGCGCGTGGACGAGCTCATATGGGTGAAGACCAACCAGCTACAGCGCATCATACGTACGGGACGCACGGGACACTGGCTCAACCATGGGAAGGAGCATTGCTTGGTGAGACATGGGGGGTAGAGATGGGGGATGAGTAGGATGGATGGACGAGAGATCACCAGTCACCCAGGGACTCGAACCCTGGACCAACATATCGGCAGCCGTATATGCTAGCGACTAAACCACTGAGGTAGTGTAGCTACAACATATGAACGGGATTCTGAATTGCTTCGTAAGCCATGATGTGAAGACCAGTCAGCTACATTGAAATATAATAATAATACTAATGTCCTTGAAACTTTCTTAACTTCATAAGAATATTTAACATTTAAAATAAAACTAGTTTTTTTCTCCCTTTTTTATTTTGTATGTGTGACCATGTTTGATGTAAAACATTTAAATCGAATAGCACAAAATAACCGTGAAAATAAAACTAAAATGTCATGATATTTAAAAATTTATTTGAAACGAACAAAGGAAATTTTAATTTTTTTTTGCTTTATTTTAATTCAATTCCTTTTAACTATACATACAGGTGGGGATGAAAGGCAATCCCGACAACTTGAACCGCGGCCTCGACTGTGACGTCATCGTGGCAGAAGTGCGCGCCACCTCGCACAAACCCGACGAGATATACGGCATTATAGGTTTGAATTAACTTTCTATATATAATTATCATGTATATATAATAATAATAATAATTCATTAAATTATTCAATAACAATAAAAAGGGCACATAAAACACTAATCAATATTACGTACAAAAACAACCATACATACATTATTATACGAAATAATCTTAGTTTTTTAAGCTCAATTTAAATTAAGCTGTGTCGACACACAAGATATGATAGCCTCTGTTGCCGTATGTATGTATTCAGCTCGTTTGAACGTCCCACTGCTGGGCACATGCCTCTGAATGCGAGGGATTAGGCCATAGTCCACCACGCTGGCCAAGTGCGGGTTGGCGGACTTCACATATCTTTCGAAAACTTGCTAGGTTCTCCAGACATGCAGGTTTCCTCACGATGTTTTCCTTCACCGTAAGATTCGCACATGAAAATATCAGAGGTGCATATCAAAATATGCGACCTGGAATTTGAGCCCGCTTCGCTCGGTTTCCCAAGCGAGCGTGTAACCACTGGGCTATCGCTGGCCACATTGTCATACTAAAAAAGAAATTTAAAAAGTTTTGTCTGTAACTTTTGTTTTTAGCTCACGCTTTTATTTGTTGTTCATAAAAAAGAAATAAAAAGCTAAAAATAATACTATTCCAATTGGAAAAGAGCAAATAGACAGCGAAAGTCTCACGAAGTCAATAATTAATAATTATTATTTACAAAAATACATATTTATTATTATTATTTAAAAAATAATTACTAATAGTTGTATAAAAATTATCAAATTTATATTTTAATATGTTTTAATGTAATTGCGGTATCCGCCACAGCGCCAAAGAAGTTTTACTACGATCGCGCGCAAACGTTTATTTATTTTTTTGTTTACAGAAAGACTCAGTCCAGGGACAAGGAAAATAGAGTTGTTTGGACGACCTCATAATGTTCAACCGAATTGGTACGTTGACGTTATTATTTAACTCCATCACCTATTTGTAGACCGACTTAAAAAAAGAATAATATACTTAATTGTTGGGCGTCTGCTTTTTTTTGAACCAATTTTTTTTCATATAGATAAATTTCATGAAAAAATCCTTTATAGATGGATTATTAAAATGTATTTTTAAGTCATTATTTTTTCATATCAATTTGTACTTGTATATGTGTAGTATTCTTTTTTTAAATTATTTAAAAAAAATGTAATTATAGAATGCCCACTACCGGATCAGGCTTAAAAGTTAAAAGATTAAAAACGCTTTAATTTTTTTTGTAAAGGTCATCCAAAAACAAAAATTTTGAAAAAAAGAAGTAGAATTTCGACCATTGTTAAGAAAGTTATGAGCAAAAAACCAAAAAAAGAGCCGCTTTGAACCGGTGATCAAAAAATCTCAAAATTTACCAGGAAGCTCTCTCTTTTGAGCATGTACGGCTGCACACCCGAAAGTCCTGGGTTCGAGACCTGGGGACCTTTCTGTATAGTAAGTCTCAGCAACAGCCCGGAGTTGGGAAGTTGGCGGTGTTTCACCCCCGTGCCTCGGAGAGCACGTAAAGCCGTCGGTCCTGCGCCGACACTCTCACCGGTCGTGTCGAGTAGTCGTCCCACCGGAGTATGAGAGTGATAGGAATAGAGAGTGCACTTGTATCTGCGCGTACACTTGTGCACTATAATATCTCCTGCACAGTTGGCTAATCTCAATGAGATTGGCCGCCGTAGCCGGAATCGGCTAGGAGAACATCATTCAAAATACCAAAATATTAAGAAAATAAAAATATATTTTTTTGCAACCGATTTGGCGTGGAATGTCCCTTATATAATGTTTAAAATTAAATAATTTGTTTAACTGTATGATTATCATCGATCAAAAAAGTACTAGATATACAATCCCATACAAAAGTTCTCTTAAAACTGTCACCAATTAATTGTGTTTAGGTAATTCTAGTTGAAATAAATACGCAACAATGTAAAGTGAACCTTTAGTGCAATGCCTAAAGTTGTTTTCACAAAAAAAACTTGCCGCCACAGCGCCATGCCATCACAAGGAATGAATATTTATATTACGACTTAATATAAATAATGCTTAAAAACTGTTTTTCCGATGATTTCTTCACAAAGTATCAGAATTTACAATTTTTCGTCGCTGATTGTGTATAAGTTGAATAAAGTTCGCCTCTGTAATAGTACTCGTGTAGTATTACTACGAATTGATTGTTTTTAATCGGCGACGCATAACTGATGGGGTGTTATAAGTTTGACGTATCTGTGTGTGTCTGTCTCTGGCGTAGTAGCTCCCGAACGGATGATGCGATTTTTATTTTGTTTTTTTTTTTTGAAAGTTGAATTGGAGAGTATACTTAGCTATGTTTGATGCAAATCGGTCCAAGATGGTCGGGGGTTTTTTAAATATTTAATTTAGTATTTTAATTATTTTCTTTCAGGATAACCCTTGGAAATCAAGTAGATGGAGTACGATTAGTGGACCCTGAGTTAATGGCGGCGTTTAAGAAGAGGTACCCCGATGGAAATTGTATGGCTCCTCCAACTCCTGACCCTGGACTATCATAAACCTCTATAAATTAAATCTTAAATAGCTTATACATGAATGATATGATATGGCGTGTATGAAAATTATATAACCCATGCAATTTGGTTTATAAATAAATATGTTGGGACATTAATACATAGCACCATCTAGTTCCATGGTAAGCTACGAGGCCTGTTTATGGATACCAGATAGTTGATACACTATTACACTACACATATTATGTAACTTTAAATAAATACATATTCGATAATATAATAATGAATCGCTGAATGTGTTGGTAAGCGCAAATCTCGAGAGCAACTGAACCGATTTCGCTAATTCTTTTTTTAGAATATTCCTTGAAGTACGAAGATGGTTTCTTTCGGAGAGAATTTTTTTTTTTTTAAATCCTGAAAAAGTCTAAAAACAACACTTTTCTATACTCCCATACAAAAGATTCGTAATAATACTTAAAAGTCAATTTGAACTTTAATACCATACCATAAAGTTTAAGTGTTAGTGGAGAGGTTCCGGGAAGGCAAAATAATTGAGTGACGTTAGTATCGTATAAATATTAATGTCAATATTTGTCAATATTTATACAATGGTAACATTACTCAAAAACAAATCTGTACAGATAAATTAAATGTCTGTTTAAAATGTCAAAATAACAGCTTTTTACTAAATGCATATGGATGTATACACGATACATATACCAAAACAACATTTTTTACAATTTTTGTCTGTCTGTCTGTTTGTTCCGGTTAATCACTGAAATGGCTAAACCGATTTTGACGGGACTTTCAGTGGCAGATAGCTGATGTAATAAGGAGTAACTTAGGCTACTTTTATTTTAGAAAAAAAAATGGAGTCCCCACGAAAAAAATTTAAAACCAATGAAAAATTTAATAATATTCAATTCAAATAGGGAAGTTGTATACATACCCTAGGGACAAACCCGAGCGCAGCGAGGCTGAGTCGCTAGTTATAAATATAAACACCCATCACTGGAGTACAAACATTCGTGCTCATCACATAAATGAATGCCCCCAGTCGGACTCGAACCCGTGACCGCTGGTACAGCAAGTAGGGTCACTCCAAACTGCCAAAAGTGTCGTTATCGCTTATAGTTTAGATAAAGGTGCTCCAATATCTGTTAAATGAACGTTTATAATTAGTAGAAACAGATTAGATAAATCCGTAACAAAATCTTTCCCAACGATAACACTACAGTGTTAAAAAGTAGTGGTCGCCTAAATATTTAGTGTCCATTCCTGAATCTGGACAGCCATAATTTAGGATATTTTTGTTTCCTCTATTGCCAATAGATGGCGTTGAGCCACACGTTGAGGAAACATCCTCAAAATATATTCAATTGATAAAATATTTTAAGGGAGATCCTAAAATGCAATATAAAATTGTAGCACCAGAGCCACTGAACAATTGTAATTACCAGAAAAAAAAAACAATTTAAAAATATATTTTTTAACTTAAATAAATATAGATTTTAATTTAAAATAAATATAGATTACTAATTAATATTTTTTAAAATTGTAATAATTATAAAAATAATAGCAAAAATTAAATAAATAATTTTCCATATTCAATTATAATTAAAATTATAAAAATGTTTAAAGTTAAAAAATATTGTAATGTAATTGGTGCAATTTTCATTTTGTTAATTGTGGGTAGGCTGTCTGTAACAACTATACATTCAAGACATGTAACACTTCAGTCTCTCCCGTGACCATGGATGCTGTAAAGCATTCGAAACGTCGGGAACCAAAAATCAAAATAAATCCGCGAAATAATCCGAAAAGATAGTTTTATTTAATAATGAACTTTAAATTATATACCTACTAGCATTGCCCGCGGCTCCGCCCGCGTTCAGATGACCAAAAACTAAATTCTTAGGTGTTACATATTAGTATACTCTTACATTGCAGTTTTTGTATTTTTCCTCAGAAATAAGATATTTTCCCGCGGTAAAAAGTATCCTAGGATCGCGCGCTACATCGCCCGGTTTATATAGCTTGAGCAGGCGGTCGAGCGATGCGGGGCAGAGGGGATGGACTCGCCGTAGGCATCTCAATGCTCGCCAAGCATTAAAAATGTTTCGCTACTAATTACTTCTAACAACGATATCTCAAAAACTATTCATCTGATTGATTTAGTGTAAAGAGCAATTTTAATCTGCATTAAATGACTAAGCTAACTAAAATATTCATTTGGATAAGGATTAATACCGAACTAAAGAAAATAACTTTGAAAATAACGTAATGTTTTTAATTAAAAATGTTAACATAAAAGTGGTTATTGTAAGTCAACCGTAAGAGATAGAGATATGCTATCGCGGACTTTTTTGTAGCATTTTTATAGATTTTGAATTCTCTAGTACATTACTTAACTGTATCTTTGCTAGTTTACGCGGCGTTCGCGTGGAAAGTTCCCATTTGGCGAGATTTTTTGCGACCTCTTCAACATTTGTCGCCGTATTTCAGCTAATTTACATAAAAGCATAATAAATTATATACCTAAACCTTCCTCAAGAATTACTCTTTCTATTGTTGAAAACCGTATAAAAATCCGTTCAGTAGTTTTCGAGTTTATCGCGTACAGACAGACAGGAGGACAGACAGGAGGACAGAAAGACACGGCCGGGGGACTTATTTTTATAATAAGTATAGATATAGGTATGTCTTATATAGAAATGAGAAGATTGATTGAATTGACATTGTAAAAACTGCGCATTCTATTTTACCGCTAATTTAAAAATGCTTTACATATTATAAGCGTAACTAAGATGAAAAATGAACTATTATATTTTTATCAGTTAGTTTTATTATTTTAAATCCTATGTACTTACCTATATAATATGAATGAAATACTGTTTTTTGGTATGCCACCACTAGAGAACGACTGGACCGATTTACGTTTTTTAGGGTTCCATACCCGAAGGGTGTAAACGGAACGCTGTTACTAAGCCTCCGCTGTCCGTCTGTCCATATGTCAGAGGGCTGTTTCTCATGAACCATAAACATAAACAGAGTATGTGTTTCTATTGCCGCAATAACAACAAATAATAAAAATACAAGAAACCTTTTTTAACGTTCGTAATCGGTCATCTATACTACATAAATAAAAGAAAAAGTCATATTAATTAAAAGTACATGGTAGGGAACCCTTCGTGTGTGAATGCGACTCGCATTTGACCGATTATTAATGTTTATAAGAGTAGTTAGGAATTTATTGTTTGTAGGTGTGCAGTTGGGAACGTGAGAAACTAAGTGTTATTTCATAAAAAAAATGAATGATTTCAAAGGTCATAAATAGTAAATTTATTAAAATTAGAACAGGATAACGTCTGTCGTGTCAGCTAGATTGTAGCACATTGTAGGATAAGGACTTTCCCCCACGGCGAAGTTCATAAGTTATACGACAGACGCGAACCGTTGGTCGCCTACTGATTTACTACTTCATATAAATAAATATGTTGGGACATTACTACACAGCACTATCTAGTTCCATGGTAAGTTACCAGACTTGTGCTATCGATCTTTTAAATATTGAGTTATGGTATTTTAAATAAGTTCTAAAAATAAATTAGGATATACCGACATCTCCCGCTTATCTCCAAAAGCGCTGGAGAAAATATCAAAATCCTTGCTATTAATATTTTGCTTATACGAATTAGTCAAATATATTACTTACTTTTTTGTTAAAACGCACTTTTATAAAAATAAAAACTAGATTTCCTAATACAACAATTAAGAAAAAAAAAACAAATATCGATCTTTAAATTTTATTGTTTTCATCACTCATAATTTTACAAAATTATATTAATTAAAATATATATATATATAAATGTTAATAAAACGAAGGATGTGGGGATCTCCTGCCTTTTGGTGAGCTCGGTCGTGGTCTGCTGAATCCTCTTGATGGGATTGTTGAGGGTTTATCTCTGAAAACAAAAAAAAACAGTTATACTAGAAAAAACATTTTTTTATCAAAATACTTAATGTATCTATAAAAACGTAAGTTCAAAAACTAAAACCCAACTAGTGACTAATAAAAAATCACGCTCTAAAGTATGAGACTAGAAAATATACCTACTCATCTGAAATAGTTATGTATAAACTATAAACTATTCAATATTTACCGTCTATTAAATAAACAACTTTAATATGTTCACGTAAAATACTTTAGTGTTTTAATACATATTAATGGTGATGTTCAGAGGATAGCCGAGATCTATACAGTACGTAACTAACCTAACATCGCGATTTATCCCAGGTTTTGTCCCTGTACTTGTTCTAGAGTTAACATTTCGAATGCTCGATTTTTCTTTAGAATTTGTGCTGAAAGTAAAGTTAAATAAATAATTATATACCAATTATAAGGGTTAATATATTTAAAAACCGACAACTTCCCAAATCCGGGCTTTTACTGGAACCTCCTTAACAAAAAACAATAACTAAACGGGACTTGAATCCAGGACCTCCGGATGTGCAAACGTACATGCTAGCCACTATACACCACCGAGGCAGTTAAATACACACTTTATCAAGTGTCAGGTTAATTTTAAAAAATCATTTTCAACCAACTTGCTTTTATCGACAACGTTTTTTCCATGCCTCTCAATAGTTAGTATTTCATGCAGCCGTCTTTGAAACTAAAATTATAAAAATATTAAATGTAATTTCTATTTATTTTCAAAGTAATTTTTAAATATAACTAATATTCCTTGATTAGCTCAGGCTCTAACTACACTCCGTAAATTGTTTAGTAGGTAATTTGTGTTAGTAAAATTAATGTAGGTACCTACCTAGATTTAAATTAAATATATTATAATTTAATGTTTGTATTAGGTATTGTTAATCTACTCTTTAAACTCTCCAAAAATTACTAAGTACTAAAATATTTTAAGTTTAACCTTTATACTATTTAACATATCTCCCTGGGTAGCTAACGGCCTCTCATCCGACCGCACTGACGGAGCCCTACGTTCGGGAGGAGCGTCCCTACGAGCTCCTAGAGATGCTGCACCGATGGACCCGTCTCGATGCCCTGATACTAATTTATAGTTTTAATGATATTTTTTTGTAATTATTATACCGAAATAGGCAGTGGTTTCCCAGTGGTAACGCGCTTGCTAGGAAAACCGAGTGAAGTAGGTTCAAATCCCGGATCTCGCACTTATTTTCATGTGCGAATCATTTTCAACATGCTTACGACTTGTCTTACGGAATACGGTGAAGGAAAACAACGCGAGGATAGCTGCATCTTCGAGAGAACCTAGCAAGTTTTCAAAATCAATGTGCAATCCGCCAATCCTCACTTTGCCAACCAGTGTGGTGAACTATCCCCATTGAAAAACTCCAATAAGATCTCATCAAAAGCGACAAAAGCCACATAGAAACTAATAAATCTTTACTGGTGGCTGTTGATGAGATCGAAGATCATATTGGTTTTTAAATAGGGATGGCCTGATCCCCCTCGCATTGAAGGGTGCTCAGCAGTGGGATATACATACATATCGAAATATGCAAAGAACAAAACTAAGTAATTTTTAATTCTGACTGAGAAATCAATTTTTATACCCGATTATTTCAATCTATACATATTATAATAAAATTGTAACTTAGCTGAATCTGTACATTAAATATTTTTTGGAAAATCTTATTGAAATAACCATTATTATCGAAAAAGAGGCCGAATCTATAGTTTTTAGAATTTTAGACTGTATGTCTGTCTGATACCACATCACAGAAAAACCACTGGAGGGATTGTGATGAAATTTGGTATGGTGATAGCTGGTTATCCGGGTCAACATATAGGATACTTGTTACTGCGGAAAAATATCTCATTTCTGAGAAAAATACAAAAACTACAATGTAAGGGTATACTAATATGTAAAACCTAAGAATTTGGTTTTTGGTCATCTGAATGCGGGCGGAGCCGCGGGCAATGCTAGTTCTATAATAACAACAAAAAGAACAGTACAGTACCTATGTACTGTACTGTTCTTTTTGTACAGTACACACAGTACAGTACCTATGTACTGTACTGTTCTTTAAAAAGGGTTTGAATAATTTTAGAAAAGAGTATGGTTTAAGTATGTTGAGGTTTAACAAAATAATTTGGTAGTGATAATAATAAGAAAATTTGCTTGTAAGTAATCCAGTACCTATCTTGAAAAAAAATTGTTCTGGTTTTAATTTTTGTTTATCTTTTGAATGTCCAGTCTAACTTTATAAAAAAGTAAAATGATGTACATATTTTGCTTAGCTTCATTTATACTGTTAGTTGTAATATGTTTTTCTTTGAAATAACATATAAGTGTAAACTATTTTAGTAAATTTTATTTCAATTTTAGAGTATAACATTATTTTAAGTGTAGCTAAGAAATTTTTTTGTAAATATAAAATCTGCTTTGATCTCACCATCTATTAAAGTAACTGTGGGGGTTGTTGATAGATGTAAATTGATAAAAGTCTACTGAGAATATTTTAAAGTTGTAGTGTAGTAAGTAAATAGTGATAATAATTAAAATATTTTATAACTTTACTAAAAATACTAAGGGATTACCAGAATATCTTATAATGTATTGATTTCTTTCTATTTTAATTATATAATATTTTAACCAGTCTTATATTTTCAAATAAAAATTCATTATAAACATAACATTTTAATTTATTTTCTAAAACTAGATCACATTATTTAAATATATTTTTACTATATTAATACCATTGGAAACCATTCATTGGCTAACTTCATGGTGGTCTTATACACAGATTTGACACAGAAATTAACAAAAGAATTGTGCAAGCTATTTTTAAAATTCATAAAAGCTTTACCTATATGATTGTAATGAGGTAAATTATAAATTAAGCTAAGATGCTTTTGATTGTGAAATATTTTTTTGGGGCTCCTTTTCATCATCTGCATCTTTTTTCCTTTCAATCTCTTGTACATTTGTTTTGTATAATTGCTTTCTTAACTCGGATGGTCCTGCAAACATTGCTGGCGTCTTTTTAGTTGCTGGTAAGTAAACTTCATAAGTTTTAAAATATTTTAATATACATTCTACATCGTCAACTTTCATTTTATATTCATGTGCAATTTTAGCTGCTGTAACTTCTGCAGGGTTTATTTGGTAAGACGAAATATAATCAATTGCATGTCGCAATGTAGTTTTCCCATATGGAACTTTGTCAGGTTCTTTTAAACCAAAGTCAAAATCAGGCACTAATCCACGGCTTTGAGGCAGTGGACGATTAACACTTTGATCTTTTTTTTCTTTTGTCACATCGTCCTCAGGTCTGCCGTACGATGTTACATAAACATCTTTAAGTCTTTCATCAAGCCCTGGATCTTTTTTATCAAGTTTTTCATCAATATGAGGGTCAACTTCATGTACTCTCTTCAATTCTTCTATTGTAGATGGATAACTCGGTGCTACATCGGGTTTTTCTTTTGAAATAACCCGGTGAGCTCGGTTCTCAATATTAAAAGATTTAATGGGCCGTAAGGCTTTTGTTACTAAAGCACCCATCTCAAGTGGCTTTAGTGTATTCTTAACTAGTTAATAAATCACTTTGTTAACATTATTAAATAATAAACACTACGTTCTATGTTTCAGAGGTTATTGTAATTTGACATTGCATTATTTTCAATTAACAATTTTGCTTAAATGTCAGAAATCAGAATTGACTTTGAGTTTGAGAATCAGACATTACTAAAAGTTGCCAGTATTATAAATTCATAATATATTACCGGAAAAAACTTAAATAGTATTAAGTTATGTCCACACCAGTGCGCTTTCATGTTCATCTTGCGTTTTCATCCAAAGAGTATAGATATATATGTTTGCATCTGACGCATGCATGAAGCGCCATAGCGCACGTATTATCGCATGCACTAGAAGTCCTAAAACTAGTTCAACAACAGCGCATGCCCGTAGCGCACGATCCATCATTGATGGGTTCACATGCGACATTCCGAGCATTTTACTTATCAATATGTCGTATTAACGACATTTTTTTAATTTGGAACTAGAAGAAATTAATTTTGTAATAGTTCATCGAGCTAAAATCGTATATTCTCTAGTACCACTAATCAACTTGGACACAGCCAGTGTCAAAGCCAATATCTTGAGGGATACCGACAGTCAAAGCACCCTGAATCTTTAACCATTTCTTACATTTAATTATAACTAGTTAAATATTTTTTATTTTCATAAATGAGTAGCAAAAGGGTAATTGCTAATTTTATTTCAACAGGTATCCCTTCTCGATAATTTGAGTGTTTTGTTTCTTTATTTTTGGATTCACTATTTTTAAAAGCTTGTTAAAAATGGCTTTAGACATTCGTGTAAAGTTTTAAAAAGGATGTCCTTGCTTAGCTCTAAATATTTCAATATCGTGTAGTATCGCGTTTTTCCTTGTAGTTAATACTACATACAGACCAGGGCGTATAGGTGTAGACGATAAGCTGCATGCATCCTAAGGCAATCAATATTGCATACGCTTGACGCGAACCGAATTGAAAGTTGAAGACGTAAGATGAACATGAAAGCGCACTGGTGTCTGGTGTGGACATTGCTTAACATCTCCAGGTAAATTTCTAAGAAATCAATTAAAATTCTAAGACATCTATTGTTAACTGACACGCCGCTGTGTCCGTGGAGGGATTAATTAATACATTTATTTCTAATGTATAAATAAACAAATATTAATAAAAATTAAACATAATACTTAATATCGTACCTAAACGTAAAAAAGAAAGTAAAGTACGTACATTGAAGTCTAGACAACGCAGCTCTTAAAGTAGACTTTGAATCTCTGACGTGAATCATTTCTCCAGGTGATGGAGTGTTTGTGGCACGAGACTGTTCCAGTGTCCTAATAGGAGGAGGACTTGGGCTCCGACCTAGACGACGACGCTGTTGTGGTTGTAATGTATCTCTCGGTCCTAAATTTATTATTTATTTAGTAAATATACGAGACTAGGTACCATATAAAATAAAAATATATATTTTTTTAAATATTTGTTTAATTTGCTAAAATATGTAAATATATATTTTCGTCGAATCATATTTTGATATTTCACCATATTGTCTTGGGTCAAAAATAGAACATAACGATTCGTTACTCTGTTCTTTGTCCAATTTACAAATACTTTTTCAAATGTAATCATACCTATTAAATATAAATATGTTGGGCCATTAACACACAGCACTATCTAGTTCCATGGTAAACTAAGAGGCTTGAGCTATGAATACCAGATAGTTGATAAACTACACATATTTAACTTTAAATACATACATATTAAAAATATAAACAATCATGACTGGAGTACAAACATTCATGTTCATCACACAAATTATTGCCCACAGCGGGATGTGAACCCGCGACCGCTGGCACTACAAACTGAGCCAAATGTATCGTCAAGTAGACGTAATAAGCATATTAAAATAACTAATAAAAGAAAACTTACCAGAACTAAAGACGGAAGGCATTGTTTTTGTTATATTGGTCGATGTTATACGATCACTAAAATTATTTGAGACCTTAAAAGTATGCTGTGGCTTGATAGTAATTGACGAGCATAAATGCTTTTCAATTTCCTTATTACTTATCGTACTCTTCATCAACACGTTCTAAGAATAGGATAATAATAAATTATGCATTAATATATTTATATATTAATTATTAAATGAGGTGAGCGAATGAAAGCAAACGAAGATTATAAACTCTGATTGACTAACTAAAAAGTCCCATTAAAATTTAGATTTGCCCTCTTCGATTTGATATTACATTACATACTCCAAACACAATTATAAAAGAAAATTTAATATCCTATAACTTTGTCTCTGATTGTAAATTTATAAATAAATTAATAACATTTATTTACATAATTTATATACATTACTGTTCTTTTTAGATAAGTAAATACATATTATAAAAGATTACCTTGGCATCACTTAATGTTTTGGCGATTGGTGTAGTTTGATTTGTTCGAAACGTGGAATTCTGAATGTATCTGATATTTTTAATATTGTCCTTAAATAAATAATTTATCGAACTTGATTAGTAAACTTAAATATTTTATTAATTAAATAAAATTGATCAAAAAATTACTAATATTAATACACAATCAACGACAAAAAATCACAATAAAATCAATTTTCTTTTTGTGTATATTTATTTTAACCGGAATAATTACGTAAACACAATTGGTGATAGTTTTAAGAGAACTTTTGAATGAGAATGTGCATCTAGTACTTTTTTGATTGATGTTAACCGACGTTAAGAAGTAAAAAAAAAAATTCCGATGAAAGAATTGAAATCAATTCATTGTTAAATGTTTTTTTCTTGTGGCAAAGCATACGTACATTAGAATTTATATTACTGCGTCCTTGTGATCTCGGCGTATTACACCTCGACGATGGTCGCAAAGTGCGAGACTCGCCACTACCACGACGCAGTTGGTTTAATTCAGTGGTATTTCTAAAGAAATTTATCAATAATTGAAATTTTAATTAAAATATTAAACTCAGCGTTTCAAGAAAATACTCGTAAGTCGTTTCACTATACTCAAGAAATTAATTCTTGGCCAAGAATTACAAGTCATTAAAAAATAACTACATATGTTAAAATTCAAGTACGTTAAAATTTAAGCATACCCTTTTTGAGGAAGTTTCTGGCCTACGTTCATCTTGTCATTCCAACTGACCTGTTCGTTTTCGGACGCCTTACTAGGAGCTACCTCAAAGGAAAAAAAATAATTTTTATTCGATTGAAATACATGGCTATATAACAAAGTATGAATAAAAGTATATTTAGCATTGCAATAAGTTAAAAAATTAAGGAAATAATAAAACTAACCAAGTCCAAAAACATGCAACATTTATTAGACTGACATCTCTTAGGGGCTATTTTTGCACAACGCACTGCCAACCACCATAATTTGTCATTACCAGCTTTCTTACAAGATTTGCAACACAAATACTTTTTCCACAGTGGCATATTATCTTCAGAATCTTCATTAGAATTATATTCTTCAGGAGTAGTGCTATTTTTTATTACACACCCTTTCATTTGAATGGTGGGTTCCTTAGGTTCTATTGTTAAGTCACATGATGCAAGAAAAATATCATCTTTGTTATTTTCGGATTTTTCTAAATGTAAATAAAATAAGCTTTATTTTCTATACCATAGAGCTTATTTTTTTTAAAATAACACTGTCGTCGCGTGGGTTGGCAATGCGTTATACAAATGCGTTATAAGGAATGGTAACACGTTCAAACAGTGTTACTTTAAAATTATAACAAAATAAATAACAAAAATAACACTGTCTGAAACATCGATCGCTAAAAAGAACTAGATGCACAATTAGCGACAAAAAAAATGTCCTCACTGAATGAGCGCCTACTTGACCATTTGGGTGCGCTTTTAATTTAGTAGCATGCAAACGCTCCGACAGTAAACATGTACGGTACAACGGTACTATCGCATGCCTACATAAATTGTTCGAGTTATGTAAGTTGTTTCTGTTGTATTTATTGTTTGGGACTTTGTAATTCTGACTTTAAGAACTGCATGTAAAGTTAAATTTATTTGAATGTATGTTCACTAGCTAGTCTCGGTCGTAAGAACTTTTTGCTTTCTATGCATAGTATTGTGAAAACAACTTAAAGCATTGCATTTAAGGTAGAATTTACATTATTGTATATTTATTTCAACTAAAATTACCTAAACGCAATTGGTGACAGTTTTAAGAGAACTTTTACATGGGATTGTGTATCTAGTCCTTTTTGATCGATGGTGAAATGAAAAAAAAAATCAACTACCTTCTCTCACTTTGGAAGCTTGGGGTCGTATTTGCTTGGATATATCTGAATGCATTGGCCGTTGCATCGGCGGCGGAGGTGATGGAGACTTACTAATCACCACTGGTCGGAAATTATGAGATTTCTCAGAAAACGAGTAAATGCCAAATTCATGCATTGGCATTTTATCGACGTCTTGAAAAGTCCGTCTCCTGATACAAGCTTTATGAATTTTAATTGATTTCATCACATCAGCTAATGATAATCAGTCAACAATGTGCTCTTACTTAATTACCTGTATAAATTTCCCTGTTTTATCAGCCATGATTCAAGTTCTTCGAGCCAGGCCTATGAAACATTTCGTTATATATTAGGCATAAAAATCGGGTTAATATGAAATATATAAGTAGACTTTTTACCTGCTGATGTCCTATGACAGATCCCGGCCTGCATATTCTCATCCAAGCAATAGCTTCATGAGCTGTCATACGATAGTGTTTAATTAAATAACAGCCAATTAATGAACCAGTTCGACCCAAACCTGCCTAAATAATAATTTTATTAACCAAAATGACGCGCTAGTGGTGTCTCTGTGAGAACGCGGTAAGTGCTGAAATCAGCTCTACAGGGTTTTATTTAGTTCTTAAAAAATAGCAACGTTATGGTTATGTTTTATAGTTTACACGAGACAAAAAGACAATGCTTAAATGCTATATATCAGTCCGTTACCGGTCATGACAAACAAGAAAGGAACCCTTAAAAAATTAACTTTGCTCAAATAAATCCATAACCTTGCAATGTACAGCTATAGCTCCATCTGATTGTTCACTTATCTGTAAAAACTTAAACAATATATGTCTTGGTGGACACGATCCATCAGGGAAAAATAAATTGTAATGTGTTATTCCAACATTAATAAATCTGAAAAGAGAAATCTATATTAATAATACAAATACTTATTAATTTAAGCTTAATTTTTTTTATTTACTTACACATTGCCATCGTAAAGCCTCTTATTAAGTCTAATGACAGTTTTAACGTTATTTTCTAAGAAATATTCGATGTATATCTCTGGTGGATGGTATAATGCTACACTATAATCCACGGGTCCAATAAATGCAAGAAATTTACCTACAAATATTAAGAAAGACATGAATATATGTTGTTGTATCATAAATAATGATTACTTTATTAATACAGCTTACGATACCGGGAATGATCCAATTAAGGTCGCCTCCTTGAATCTTATCCAACCTTACATATTCCTCATAATTAAAATCTTGAAAGTTGAACATTTTCAGATCATGTGCTTTTGCTAGACCTTGAAGACAATCCATTAAAGTTATGGTGTATATTGAATCCCCATGTGTTGCGTCTTGAAATGGCCTTAAAACGTTTTTATTACAACTTATAATTTATCGCAATAAAAAGGAATTAATGAGTATTAAAAATGCCATCACCTATAACTTTGTCCGTGAACCATTAGGGGCTTTATGGCGTCTTTTGGAGTCAAACTTAAATATAAAACTCCATAGCATCCTAAAAGAAAAGCAGCATTGGCTTTCTTTTTTGGGTCAATAGAAGTGTAATGAACAATATACTGTTTATTTAAATAAAATTGTAACTTTTCGTTGAGAATTTTACAATACTTGTATACACATCCTAAGTTTAAAGGTCCAAAATCTGAATAATAATTTTCGTAAACTAATTCATTATCTATTGAAAAATAATGAGTATTATTTGTATTTTTAAGTACTTTCCCTTGCCTCACCGTCGCGAAATATAACACATTTTTAATATATTCAGTCATAAATAAAATATCAGAGGTACGCGCCATTGATATTTAATGGTAGCTGATTTTACATTTAAAAAAAACTTAAACTTGATTAAGCTAAAAGTAGCGTATTTATATAATATCTGCGATTTATACATAAAAAATAGTAAATTATAACAAACATTATCAAAAATATCAAATATCAAAGTGACGTTGAAGGAAAATTATTTTTTATGAACTGCCAATAATGAATTATAATACGTTAATTATTTCTTTTCTAAGTGACAACATTTATCGAGAAGTCAACGCTAGACATAATCATGGCAACTCTAGTCTTTTTGCGGTACGCAAGGTAAAGTGTCAAACACTTTATGAAAGATTTTCAAAATCTGTATATATTTTTGTGATCTTTGTTACTTTAGTGGTTTTCCAAATTGTGCCATTATGTATAAGAGTCATTCTATTTGTTTTCTTTTATATTTCAGGTTTTCAAAACGTTATAAACCATGGCCGATGTTGAAGTGTAAGTGTTGGTTTGTTTACATATATTTTCAATAAAACTTCGTTTATATTCAGTTTTAAAACATTAATGCAACCTAACTCTTATTATCTATCTACTAAAATGATAATTTTACATAAATGTATATATTTTTTATCATTGTCAACATAAACATTTTAAGGTTAGTAGTTTCAACTCGTGTTTTCCGAATACGTTAATAAATACACCTGTCCTAAACGTAATTTTGAATTACTTTGTAGTTTGTATACATTTGTAACACAAGATATCTTTTATATTCACATATTTGTAACTGAAATAGTCTAACCTATATATCTATGATTAGTGAAATTCCTAACAACCCCGTCCTGAGCGGAGGGGCTATGGATGTGAACACAGCACTCCAAGAAGTATTGAAAACAGCCCTCATCCACGGCGGACTCGTGCATGGACTCCATGAAGCTGCTAAAGCTCTTGACAAGTAAGTCGAACTTTTAATTCTGGATATATAAATTATTCATAATTATATGCAATTACATTATCAGTAAAAATCACATTGTTATTCATAAAAAAATATATGTTATATTTATGTGATATATTTATTATATTGATATTTTAACATTACTATGTAAATAGACAACATATTTGGCTCATAATACTTTATTTAAAACATTTGGCTCAATTTGTAGTGACCCTACTTGCTATGCCAGCGGTCGCGTGTTCGAGTCCCGTTGGGGGCATTCATTTGTGTGATGAGCACAAATGTGTGTACTCCAACCATGGGTGTTTATATTTATAACATGTATGTATGTATTTAAAGTTATAAATGTGTAGTGTATCAACTGGTATCCATAACACCAGCCTCATAGCTTAACCATGGAACTAGATGGTGTCCCAACATGTTTATTATTATTTATTAATTCTTTAATAGTTTAATGGCTGGAGACCTAAAAGCAATATTCATTCTATATTTTGTCTGTTCTAGACATATGTAGAGTGGAAATATCTAGCAGCATTCAAACTGTAAGATTACCTCTTTAGCCAATATAAATGCATACACATAGTACCACATTACTTGAATTTACAAAAATGTGGCCTCCCAAGTGTGCTACAAATTCAATTGCACTGTCAGAACTTAAAGTTAATAATTAGGGACTGGTTTTTTGAAAATGAATTGCCTTGTTACTGTTTTACACTGATTTAAAACAGGTATATTCCACTAATTTATAATGAACAATATATAATATGTTTATTAATATATATTAATTCCAAGAATTCCTATCAAATGTTAGACTATAGGAATATTGAGTTTTTTCCTTTATAAAATAAATTTATTAACAAACAGGAGACAAGCTGTACTCTGTGTATTGGCCGAGAACTGTGATGAAGCTGCATACAAAAAACTTGTACAAGCACTCTGCAATGAGCACCAGATTCCACTTGTTAAGGTGAGCTAGGAAATGTAAAAAAACCACAATTACTAACAATTAAGTCTGTATGCTTAGTTAAGAAAATGTTTTCTACTCCTGCATAAATATAAATATACAAATATAGAAAATATAAAAAAAATAATTTAATCTGCAATCTATAAAATAAAAAGCAGTGATAGTTATCATTAATAGCTTACGTATCTAACATCATGATGCACTATTCCAGATTACAAACTATCTCTATGTCAAATTTCATCGAGATCCGCTCAGCAGTTCTGGCATTTTGATTCTTATTTGATCATATCAGTTTGGATTCTTAAGAAGTCTTGAATACTTAACATTGCTATTTTTTATTTATTTTAAATACTTATGGAAAAAACTGCTCCGCACGAGCCTCCCTGTTAAAATAGCAGTGGTGGCCAAAGGAGCAAATATTAAATGTGTGCCCCTATGGTGACTCTTTATCATGCTGAGTCAACTTTCCTAGCATCCAGACATTTTTATACATAAAAGGAGATTTTTATACATAGGAGATTAGCCGGAACAAACAGACAGACAAAAGATTTAAAAATTGTGTTTTTCTTATATGTACCATTAATGATACATAATTTTATACATGCAACATTACAAATAAACACTTCCATTTTATTTATCTGTCTGTATAGACTAGTAAATAGAAATAATGAACAAAACCAACCAAATTGCAACCTACAACCAATTAACCAACAGAAAATGTGATGATGAAATATTTATTTCTTATTTATCATGTTTAGGTGGACAACAACAAAAAACTTGGTGAATGGGCTGGTTTGTGCAAAATCGATAAAGACGGCAAGGCGAGGAAGATCGTCGGTTGCTCTTGCGTAGTTATCAAAGTAAGTGTTAACTTAAAATACAAAAATGCCATTATAACATTATTATCTTTTAATATAATTTCACGAATGATATTATAATTTCTTAGAGTTTTGTCAATCTTCTCCTTTTCTTATATAACAAAATCATGGTACAATTACTATAATGCACTAAGTATATTTAGTGATATTGTAATATTATATGAAAAGGAGACAATTGAGAAAACTACAGGTTCTTTATAATTTAATTTCACTAGAGAAAACGGTTTTTGCAATTTACCTGTGAAATATAATTAACTAGTGACTCACCCTCGCTTCACTTCCGGTTTATCCCAAGATAAAAATAAATTATACCACTGGGAAAGTCCATATTTCTGGGATTTCAATAAATGCAAAAACAATTTTTTAAATCGGATTAGTAGTTCCTGAGAGTAGCGCGTTCAAACAAACATTGCCTCTTTATAAGATGAGTATAAAATATAAATTTATAATTTTGTACAATTACAAAATTGCGCTTAGCACAAACACTGGCATGCCATTTTGGCATTACAGTGATAAATTTTTCAGCGCTACATTAATTGAGTGACCCTATGGTGTTGTGCCATTGCACAAACAACTTTCCTATCACTCAAACATTTTTATAATAATAAAGCATGACAGCCCTAATTTTAAGGCTGTCGTGCTTCAATTCGCCGCGAGAGGCGCTAGTGTAGAGTAAGGTCTCTAGATATGTTGAATGTTACTAAACGTTTACTGTTTGCGAGCTTTTCATCGCGGATTTTTACTAATTATTCATAGTTGTTGTAAAGATTGTGCCATTCCTGATTATGTTATGGCCAATGAATGTTAGTGCTTTAAAAGAAGACCTAAGAAAAATCAATACATATTTTATTTATTTGGTATTATTATTTAAAATAAAATCCTGTTAAACTGGTTCCACAGTTATAATTATTGTCATTATTATACTAATATTATAAAAAGGCTAAAGCGCTAATTTCAGGAACTACTAAGCCGATTTGAAAAATTCTTTTTGCAATAGATAGCCCGTTTATTGAGGGAGGCTATAGGCTATAATATATAGTATTTATTCTAACCTAACCGTTAAATCGTTCCTCTAGAGACGAACCCGAGGGAAACAAAGCGGGTGATCTCTAGTATTAAATATATAGACCCTGCCACACAAAAAAATGCTTTTTGACCTCGACCTCTCTTGCCAGTGGCGCCAACTGATGCCACTAGAAACTATAGCCCTCATAATTTTAATCATATTTATATTAATAGCTACTGGCCAGTAGTGTAAAGTATTTTTCAGTTTTTCATTTCATATAAATGATTTTAATGTATCTGTTTTAGGACTTTGGTGAGGAGACACCGGCGCTGGATGTGCTCAAAGACTACCTGAAGTCTTCAAGCTAATTCTTAGGTGTAATGTCTAATAATAAACAATAAAAAGCCAAAAAAATGATGTATTTTTTTAATTATAAACCCTTACATTAACAGAGTATTAATTATAAGTTTATTAAATGCAAAGTTTTGCAAATTGGTCGCAAATTTCCTTGTGCTTCGGCCACTGTTGCACTTGACATTCTCTATAAATGAAAATTTATTAGGTTTACATAAATAGTATTATAATTTAAATGATAGATAGTATTATAATAGTAGGGGAGCCCACGATGCTAAATGGGGATTTACTCGAGCGTCGTAGAGACCTATTGGGATGCAAAGCTTAGATGATAAGAAGAGAAAAATGTTATATGATATATACCTTTACATCGGTGGGGGAAGCGGCTATAGATTTTTAAATATGTAAAAAAAAACTGTTGCATTGACATCGAGCGCGTCAGATATTGATAGCATCAATGCCCTACGTATTTTTAATAATGTACGTATGTTAATCTGATCGTTTGCATGATGCGGGTGGTTGTATTTAAGGGTTGAAAATGAAAAAAAAAATTTAATCGAGCGCGTCAGATTTTCTAAGGGAGTGTTAAGTGCACCAAAAAAAAGCTCTCATTCAATAATCTGACGATTTCGATGGGACGCAAACTCGCGGCCATTTTCATAATGTGCAAAAACAAATCGCCATTTTGAAATACTCAAGCGCGTCAGATTAAGATATATATGGTTCATCTTTATGTTCTAAACGTACTGTCTCATAATCTGACGATTATCTAGAGGGATTCGCCTGATCTGACAAAAAAAAATTTAGAGAAACGGTTCACCTTAAAGGCCATACCTGCAACTTCCCGCTAATTCCATTCCTGGGCGCTTAAAATTGTACTTATGACATTTTTGAGCTCAAAATATAATTTATGTGATATTTTGAGCTCGCTGAGTTCAAAGAAATAATATTTCTATGCATTTGAGCTCTCCCAGCTCTAAAGTCTGATAGAAGTTTCATAGAACACTATTTTTGGAATTTTCAAACCGCAATAACTTTTGAATAGATCAAGCAATTTTCACGCGGTTGACGCCATTCGACGCAGATTTATCATCCTCATAAGTTATTTTCAGGTTTTAATTGATCGAACCAAAAATTTCGGAGTAATCCCCAAAAAAAACACTTTTTTCGGTTTTCTTTCGTTCACGATATCTCTCGAACGAATCAACCGATTTTGACTGAATTAGCGACGATCGGCGTGGTTTTTCTAGCTTAAAGGCGGATTAGTTTTTGAAGTTAATTGATAAAGCCGGTTAAAAGTTATTCCAAAAAAAATTTTTTCTTATTTTTTTGAGATTTTTCAAAATTTCTCTAAATCTATCGGTCCGAATCGGTTCAAATTCACAGGAAATCTAATTTTGAGGGAAATCTTTAGAACGCCGTTTAGTAGATTCCGATCGGTTTAGTCGTTGAAAAGATATAAGCGAGTCACACATACATACAGACTTAGTGACAACATCATACACGGGGGTAGTCAGGGAAGCTTCCTATGACCTTAAAACGTCAAGATGAAAACTCGATTTTCGAAAAACGGGGTAAAACCAATAACTTCCCGAATTTTTTTTTATTTTTTTAAATCATTGAACTTAATTAATTGAAAAGCTCAGGAAATAGCATGCAAATAAATAAGTGTACGCTTTTTTAGTAGAATACATGTATTTATAAAAAAATTACTTAAAAAAAAGCTTAAAACAATTTAATGTTTTATAATTAATTGATTAATTAATCATCATCTTCATCCGTAGAATCATCTTCCTCTTCTGGCTCAATTTCATCCTCAGATTGCGTATCTGTAACAAAAAATTATTAAAATATTTAACAATATTTTTTTTTATGAACAACGTGTTTTTGTAATTATTGAAGAAAATAAATACCTGATTCTGGAGTATCTTCAAGAATATCAGGTGTTATGACTACATCTTCGTACGCTTTCGGCAATTGGTCACCTGCAAACCAGTTCATTTTAAATTTCCCGTCGACAATTTTCCATCCATAGTCCGTTGGTAAAAGATCAGTAATTTTTGCATTATGGGCATTACTCCATAAGCATGCAATGAATTTTGTGCGTAACACTTGCTGGAGTAACTCCGATTCACAGGGTGGCAAGTTGCACGCATCGTAATTCCGGACACTCAAGGAGAAGGGTTGCGACTTGTCTTTTACTTTGTACGTCTTATTGAAGATGACAATCCTGGCTTGATTGACATCGTCTAACTTTTTCAACCCATACAAGTGGCAAGTAAAAGACTATAATGTTAAAAGAATCCTGCACATTATGCTCTTTTGATCCCAAATCCAGAAATGCTTCTTGGAAAATTTCTGAATTCATTAATAATTGCAAAGGTTTCTTTTTCCCTCGTCGGTACAATGCTGGGTTGAAATCGCAACCAGTGAATGCATGCACAGCTGGAAGCGCTTTCGAAATTTTTCAATTTGATACTATCATATGTTCCTCCAATTCGAGGTTATCATATGACAATTCGAGGTTATCATATGTTCCTCGAGACTTTCGGATAACCGGCTTGCTCCGACGATATTCCAAAATATTTACACATTTTTTTAAAGTTCCTACCGTAAATTTAATTGTTTTTTGTAAGGTACTTTCACCACAAAATACACATTTCAAATTAATGTCACTCATATTAAATATTTATAAACTTTAATTCACACAAATAATATTAAAATAGCAAAAAAAGCCAAAACGTTGGAAACACGTTGTAAACAGTATGCCACGAACGAGTCTTTATGATCAGCTGTGATGGCGTCATGGCGGCAGAAGAGTGGGGACGGAGTGAGAGAGTAATAGATAGAGAAAGAGTGAGAGAGGAATAGACACGCGGAGAAGGAAATGTAGGCATCACGCAGCTGCACGCATTTAACTTTATCGACGAATTTTTCTTATTTCGGCTTGCGGAAATCGTCAGATTATATATTTTTCATTATTCTTGAATTATTCCCTTCAAAATAAAAAAAATTTAGCTACGCTCGAGAAGGTCGAGATGACGTTTTTTTTTACAACTTTGTTGCCCTCCCCTTTTTTACGTCACTCTCAAATTGGCAGATTAGTGGAATATACACTTTTTAGGATGTAATTAACTCACCCTACCCTAATCTGACGCGCTCGAGAATTTCTGATGGTCAATTTTTTTTACTAATCTGATCCTGTATCCTTCACGGGCGGCCTTATATATGGGCCTCATGTTTTGAGGAGGTACTTAACCGGGTACAAGGTATCCCCCTGTATATTAATCTGCCGCGCTTTAGTAAATCCCGAAATCCCCGCTTGGGCTCCCCTACTATAATAGAAGTGTTACATTCGCGCATCCACCGTTATGGGCATTGGGCACGGTGGGCATGCGCACAACCTTAATAATTGAGCTCTACAAGTTTATCGAGATGTTACATCCAATGCCTTAATAAGTCATGAGGACTACTGACAGAAGTGAAAACTTAAAACTTTAAACAAAAAAAATGTTATTATTGGATATGCAAATTAATTATTTGATCTTAAATTAAAACTGTTTACATTTATCTGGGTTTGACATCTATCGGCACTGTGTTAGCATTAACACGTCACGTGACCATGTCGATGACGACTTACATGAATTTACTCACCATCCAAACCTGCCTATAGAAGTTTTCAGTTCAAAAAAGCTTTTTTACAAATACGTAGGTCAGCATAAATACCGCGTAGAGATTGTTTTTTATTCTACACTGAGTAAAGTACTTTTATAGAAATTAAATATATTGATCATAGGCAGTCGCTATACCGATACGCACTTAGCCATTTTATGGGTTGCTGCGACCACAACCTTTTTTGAGGACTGAATCCGCGCTTGTAATGTTACAAATGGCTGTGCGTTCATTATAAATTTATAACTATCAAAATACAAGTCTGTATGTGCAAGTAGCATCAATTGAGATAATATACAAACAAGTTATATTAGGGCATATACCAGTATCGCAGTATAAAAGTTAATATAGTAGACTATTGTTTTGACTTTGCTGAAAATGACAAAAATATTGTTCATGGCCAACGGTTACGAAACCGTAGTGCCATCTCGTGATAGGCTACCCGTGTACTTAAAGAAACCATTCAAGTATTGCGTAAACACCAAAGGGTGAGTCTGAGAGGATGGGTCTTTGCTTATTTTGATGACATGTGGGGCGGGAAGGGTGTCTGGATAGTAATTACGTCAGCAATATTTGTTTATTTAAATAATTAAAATTTAGCAGATTTTGATTTGTCAAATTAATGTGTTCAGAACACACATGGCAACCCTACTTGTCTATGGTCAAAAACGAAAAGCATGTTCAGAGATTCCCCAAAATAATTAAAACGTTGTGCTTACGTATGCACAGGAGGGGGGATTTCAAATTCTGCTTACGTAATATTTGAATTACCCCAAAGCTGTTTCCCCGATTGTCATTTAAAATACCTTATTACAGTCGTTAGTGCGCTTCACCCACTCCCCATAAGCTATTGTCCTGTCTTTAAGACGTCTTCTTAGGAAAACAAATAAGTAGTATGTCATATCATATTAAAAAAAAAACTACTACACCTTGTATTTATATTTTGTAGTACTAGTAGTAGACCATGATCCATTTAAATTCAATTTAATAAGTTTTGAACTAATAATAAACCGGCTATCGAAAGTGAACAACGACATTGTTATAATAAAAAAATATTGAAACATTTAAGTTTTAGCCTTACCTGCCACAATACCATTCTGTTTTGCATCTAGAACATTTCTTACTGGCTTTGTCGCCGCATTTAGCGCACTTCGCTCCTCCACTATCCAAAGCGAGAGCGGCGTCGCTTGTGTAAGATTCTAGAAGCTTCTTCGCCATACTTTTAGAAGATTCCGAACCATCCATTTGAAAATATTGCAATTGGGATATTGCAATCGATTTTGTTCGTTTGTGCACTTCCTTTAGATATGCATCCTTTATCTATACAAAAAAAGAAGTAACTAAAAATGTGTTATTGATATAAAAACTTTTTAACAAAAAAATAAAAACCGACTTAAAAAAAAAGCACTAAAAAGTAAAAAATAACTGATTGGTAGTTTTCATTTACTATACATACCTAATCAAATATTTTCGAAGTCGGTGTGCTTTGCTTTGTATGGGCTGGCACCGATTTCGAAAATATTTGATTAGGTATGTATTTAATAGGTAGGCTTTAATTACTTAGCCAAAGCACACCGACTTCGAAAATATTTGATTAGGTATGTATAGTAAATGAAAACTACCAATCAGTTATTTTTTACTTTTTAGTGCTTTTTTTTGAAGTCGGTTTTTATTTTTTTGTTAAAAAGTTTTTATTTTTTCCTTTTTAGTGTAGACAGTAGTAGCAAAGTAAGGATTCTAACGTATTAAGCTTGTCAAATCAAACAAAATAAGCCCAAACTCAAAGTATCTACTATTAGCCGTTGAAGAGTTCCACCTATCCACCTTCTGGCCTTGCCATCAGATCAGGTCAACAACACCAAAACACTGTACTATCAACGGAAATAGAAATACTTGCAAAATTTCAAGTCAATATGACAATTAGAAGTAGGTTAAATTCATCATTAGTTCTTTTTCCACCCTTAGGGGTGGTATTTATTTTTGAAATTTAAATGGGACCAATCTGAAAGTATACCCTTTCAAACAAAACAAAAATTGTCCCAATCGGTTAATAAATGACGAAGTTCTGAGGTAACAAACATAAAAGAAAAAAAAAACATTCAGTCGAATTGAGAACCTCCTCCTTTTTGAAGTCGGTTGAAAATATGGTTTCCAAGGTATAAGTAAGTAATTGTAGATACTAGTACTGTAAAATAGCTGATATGCAATACATAGATTGATGTTGTCTAAGTTTAAAAGAAAATCGGGACCTTTATCCTATACAGAAAGCACCTATACTTTATTATATTTTCTTGAATTTTTAAGGCAATTCCTTATTTTTATAACTAAAAGTCTTATTCGGAGAAAGTATTACGAGCATTTTGCGAAAATAATAATTAATTAATAGCCAAATCGTTCGATACTTTCTCTCAAGACAACTTCTAGTGATGTGCTCTTACCAATGATTAATGAATATCTCATTTTTATTATATAGATGTTTATATGTAAATATATAGGTACGAACTTGAGGCACGACTTCAATGAGGGTGCACCCTGGATTCTTAACGCCATTGGTCTTATTGTGCAGGCTGGAGTAGTCTCCCACCGCGAGCTGACATAGGAACATCTTCAGGTGACCCAGTGGCGGGACTTGGTCCAACATGGTGTCCGTCAATTTTGCTTGAAGCTTAAAAAAAGATCTTTTATTAATTTCTGTGAAATTACTGTTGATAGTAATATTTTCGTCTACTTTATATTGTACTTTTTTAAATTGTCTAGTGTAGAGAATAATGTTGATAAAGGTCAGCATTAAATGACGAAAATGATCGAGTTTAATTTTAACCCGACTGCGGCTAAATCCAAAGGGTTATTATCAGTCGGGTTAATCTTCACTAGATAAGTATGTTCTGAGTGCTGACTATAGTTACTCTGCGTTAAGTTGAGAGATTGCATAAGGCAAAAAATATGTTTAATAAAATTTAAGAATCCAATCTGACACTATTTTCGAAGAGCCGAAAGCTCATTACGAGCTGACGTCACTATATTATCTTTCTCTCACTCACTCTAATCACTAAGTGTAACAATTTTGATTATATGACGAAATTTATTTCACTTAAATCTGAATATTTATAATACTGAAAAAATAGGTTTACCGAACAAAAAACAGAGCGTCGACATTCGTCAATAGTATAGTGATGTTGTAAGCGCGGCTCTAGCAGGAGTTGCCGCAGACAGAGCCAGAGCTGCGCCTCGCTTCGGTGCAGCTGCGAGAGGTCATCCGCCGTCGGCTTGCTCCAACGGCCGACTAAAGGGGGGTTCATTGATAAAATATATCGCGTATGTATGTATTCAGCCCCTTTGAACGCCCCACTACTGGGCACGGGGCTCCCAATGCAAGGGGGATCAGACCATTGTCCACCACTGGGTGAACAAGTACGGGTTGGCGAACTTCCTGTCACCCATGTGTTTTGAAAACTTGCCAATGCCAGGTGCTCTCAAACATGCAGATTTCCTCACGATGTTTTCCGTTACCGTAAGATAAGTGGTAATTATGTTGGAAATGATTCGCATATGAAAATATCAGAGATAGGTCCCGAGCGCGTTACCACTAAACTACCACTGCCAATATCATGTATAGACTAGCGATTTACCCTCGCTTCGCTAAGGTACGTTCATAGGTGCCTAAAAATAGCCTATGATTATTTATTTTTTAGAAGATATGCCAACAATCAATAGTATTATTCTTATTAGTCTACGTAATGTTATAGTGAGACTTTCACTGGGAAGTAGAAGAATCGGGCAACATTGACCTGGCCTTATTTTATTCCTGATAAAAAGGGTTCTCGTGGCGCCTATAAAAAGAACTCATATCGGTTTTTATGAGCCTTGATCTGGCGGATATTATACCTACAATGTGTAATCTGCCAAATCTTTTTCGTATATAGTAAAGACACGATTATTACAATATTACAAAATAGAATTATATTCACAACTTACAGTTAAACATTTGTAGATCTCCATTATCGTTGACTTTTCGCCAGGGCTGCAGTTGTATGAGATGGCACAATACTGAGGGCACGTCGTACGTTTTATAAAGATTTGTAGAAATTGATGCACCTATTCCCGCGAATTCCATGTGCTCAGCTAAATAACTGGACATAATATATTTGAATATTTTACCCGGTTCTTTTGATAAGAAAATAAATTAGTCTATGCCTTAATAATAGCTCGCAATATAAATAAATAAAATTAAATAAATAAAAATTGTTTTTTTTATCTATTATCATCAGACGAAACTCTTAATGTTTATACTGTAATAATTTCAAAAAAGCTAAATCATTTCTCACCGAACAATGGATATACATCTCATACTAATATCAAATTGAAGATCTTTTTTTTGACGTTCCAACTCTTCAGCTGCAGTTTCAGATTGCAAATCCTTTACTGCAAGTGGTTTTAAATACCCATTGCTGAAATAGAGTTTAAATTAACAAAAAAATAAAAACCGACCTCAAACAAAAGCACTAAAAAGTAAAAAATAACTGATTGGTAGTTTTCATTTACTATACATACCTAATCAAATATTTTCGAAGTCGGTGTGCTTTGCTTTGTATGGGCTGGCACCGATTTCAAAAATATTTGATTAGGTATGTATTCAATAGGTAGGCTTTAAGTACTTAGCCAAAGCACACCGACTTCGAAAATATTTGATTAGGTATGTATAGTAAATGAAAACTACCAATCAGTTATTTTTTACTTTTTAGTGCTTTTGTTTGAAGTCGGTTTTTATTTTTTTGTTAAAAAGTTTTTATTTTTCCCTTTTTAGTGTAGACAGTAGTAGCAAAGTAAGGATTCTAACGTGTTAGGCTTGTCAAATCAAACAAAATAAGCCCAAACTCAAAGTATCTACTATTAGCCGTTGAAGAGTTCCACCTATCCACCTTCTGGCCTTACCATCAGATCAGGTCAACAATACCGAACCACTGTACTATCAACGGAAATAGAAACACTTGCAAAGTTTCAAGTCAATATGACAATTAGAAGTAGGTTAAATTCATCATTAGCTATTTTTCCACCCTTAGGGGTAGTTTTTTTTTTGAAATTTAAATGGGACCAATGTGGAAGTATACACTTTCAAACAACACAAAAATTGTCCAAATCGGTTAATAAACGACGGAGTTCTGAGGTAACAAACATAAAAAAAAAACATACAGTCGAATTGAGAACCTCCTCCTTTTTGAAGTCGGTTGACAAAATGTATCGCATTTTCCAAATAAATACTATATAATATTGTATAGATACTGACGTGATTTTTTTATAAAAAAATTAAACTACGATGGAGGTAGTAGCTTGACAATAAAAAATAAGATATTAGGAAAATTGTTGAAGGTTTGCCAAAATCAATGCCTAAAAACGTTAAATAGTAGACATTAATAGTCAGAACCTAATTTAGTCTAATTACAATGTTTTAATGCTTACTTAATTAGCACCACTAGAGCTGTCAGTTGGTCAACAGCGTAGTGAAGAAGGTCTATGGCCACTTCGCTAATACAATGAGCACCGTCCTCGTGGAATAATACAGTTTCCAGTAATCCCACTGTTGCCGCCTCATGGTACAGCTGTACAATATGAATATATTTAAATTACACTCCATTTATGTATAGAACTCAAAGTCGGCTGTCTTATTGGTGGTGACTTTTCTCCTAATGGCTGTTTTTGGGACTAACGAAAACATTTACTGTAGTACTTAATTGTAACATTAAGTACTAATCAATTTTTCTTTTATTTTTTATTGTTAGTTTTTTCTTTATTTTTGTAAAAAACTAGCGGCTTATCTTTCTTTTTCGAACTGACCCGGTACGTATGATTTAAAACTTATAGAGTCAATAAACATACTAAGTAAAATTCTTTTTTGTGCCAGGTACCTTTGCGGGCGTACGGTGCAGATTTTTACATGTAGCAATATACTCTATGGGTGCAGAAGTACTCACCAAAGCGTCATTACAAACGGATGAATGGTTAAGAAACACGTAGTTAACAAACATACAAAAAACATTTATTTTTACCTCAAAAGAAAAAAATGTCCAGTTGAACTGAATTGATAAACTACTTTTTTATATAAACAAAATAGCGTTATGACAATAATTCTTATTATTATCGGTAAACAAATCAGTTCATTCTTACGATCTGCTCACTAAAGATAAAACTATCTTTCCACGGAAGAGGTCTCTCCCGTGACCATGTTTGCTGTAAAGCATTCAAAACGTCGGGAACGAAAAATATCAAATATTTGCGTAAATCTAAGAAAGTACCTAATATCTGCTCACTAATTATTATTATTAAGACAGACTTAAAAAAGCCTTTTAGGTAAATTTATATTTTATAAAGGCATTCAAGAAATTTCTTGAAATAATTCCCACGCATATCTGGCCGCCGCCACCGTAATTGATTAATTATAATTTATATGGTTAAATAAACGGAAGGTAATAAGTAATAACTTACCACCATGTAAATGCCGAAAGTATTAGCAGGAGCGGGTTCTAATTTCATGATCTGTGGGTAGATCTTTAAGCGCCAGATTTGAATACAGATTGCCTCGTGCACTAATATGGGTAGCTGAAAATATTCAATTTAAAATAATAGCAGTTAATATAAAAATATTAACAAAATTAAAACATATATTCAGTCTTATCACTTTTCCATAAGAAATTAATGTTTCTTTTGTTAATTCTTCTTGCATCGATGAAGCTTCTAAAACGGCTTGCTGATTTAGTTTTTGCAATCGAATGTGCCAATCAATCCATCTGTAAATTAATTAAATAAAAGTCCTTAAAATATTTCTTTTATTATGTTACGAAGAATGAAAAAATATCAATTTTAATTTAAATAATTTAGGGTAATGTATGATATCTATTATAGTTTTAGAAATTCTAAGAATACTCATATTTATAAAACCCACCCTTGGTTGCCAATACTTTCAATCCTCCAAGGTTCTATACTTTGTACAAACATATCTAATTCTCCAATATCAAGCGCACTAAGTTGAGCATCTTTTTCAACCATTTTGTTAATATAAATAATATGATAAATGTAGATAGTGAATGTTAAGAATATCGATATAATATTATTTATTGTCGTTATAGAAACTTTAATGCTTGTATATTTTACCGGAACTATAATTACAGATATTTCCGGCAAAATATACATTAATTTATTTTATTATTAAAGACAGGTTATGTTTTTAATTTCGTCTATTTTTAATATTGGTCAAAAATGAATAAAGATATCAATCAGTATGTAATAATATAAAAAATGGACTTACAATAAATATTTTATTACAAAAATTCTTGTGCTACCATAGAAAAATATTAAAAACATGGCGACTACCGGAAGTCTATGGTTTCTGTCGTTCTTTCTATAATTTGACACACGTGCCGCGTGGAGTTTTGCCTCGCAGGTTGTTAAATTTTTAAATATTTATTGCTTGTTTGGTGCTAAATAAAGAATATTTTATTAAGAAATATAGTACAGTGTAAAGATATCAAAAAGTTGACGGATTTAGTGAAAAGTGCAACTGTTAAAAGTGGTTAATATCTGATGCCGTAGTGATCACCTCATTACAATTGCATTATTTCTTTAATCAATCTAATTTGCTAAAATTTAGTATTAATTTTATATTCATCGTTACTTTTAGTCCCTATTTAGGGCACTAAACGAATTTTAGTATACTTGTATTGATAATTTTCCTAACCTATATGTTCCATGATTCATGCATGCTTTTGATCAATTTTTAGCAAAAAAATTAGGGAATCAATGTTATTCGTTAATTTCCTTTATAAATAAGTATAGATTCATAAAATCATTGTGTATAGAAATAATCTAAATAACACATCCTCTGTTGTTATTTTAGAATGCGCTTCGCCTAACCTAAAGAAAACATTGTTTCGAAAAATGGAGTACTATAATTAATTTTCATCAATAATTTACAATAATTGTATTTTTACTTTATATACTTTAATACTTTTAATTTTTTAGCACAATGGTGGCTACTGTCGACAAAAAGGCTGCGGCCGATAAGAAGGCTCCGGCTGAGAAGAAGGTTGTAAAAGGCAAGGAGGACAGCAAGAAGCTGCCAGCAGTCCCTGAATCAGTGCTAAAGCACCGTAAACGCAGAGATGCTTTAAGAACACGCCGCATCCAGGTAAAATTTTAAATTACTAATTATGATTTTTATAGATTACTTCTAGTGGGTATATTGCAATTTTTGCACTAGTTTTTTACATGTAGTCGTTTCAGCATTGTTGGTAATGGCATTTTTTAAGCCTTAACTGTTTTTACTTTCAAATCCTTTATATGATGATCCCAAATTACAAGGCATAGTTCATCTGACATAAGATGCTGTTATCTTTTTTACTGATTGATAAATATAAAATTAATTACACAATGTTTTGAGCAAGTAAGTTTTAACTTGTATTTTATTAGGTTACAATCAAAAGGCGTTCAGCTGCCATCAAGAAGAAGAAAGAAATCTTCAAGAGGGCTGAACAGTATGTTAAGGAATACCGTATTAAGGAGCGTGATGAGATAAGACTTGTTAGACAGGTACTAGAACAATTTTAAATCAAAACAAATGATATTTATTTATATATTAAAAAAACATGTTTGGCTCAGTTTGTAGTGACCCTACTTGCTGTGCCAGCGGTTTTTGGGTTCGAGTCCCGCTAGGGGCATTCATTTGTGTGATGAGCATGAATGTTTGTATTCCAGTCATGGTTTATATTTATAGTATGTATGTATTTAAAGTTATATATACATTATATATATACATATTATATATATATTATATATATATTATATATATATATTATATATATATATATATGTGTGTGTGTATTAACTATCTGGTATCCATAACACCTCATAGCTAACCATGGAACTAGATAGTGTGTGTGTGTGTCCCAACATATTAATAATGTTTTTATTAGAGATATCCATATGTTATCCGGCTGCACCAGATTATGCTATGATGAGATCCAACATAATAGCTCATCACATATCTGGTATCTGGCCAAAGAACTATCTGTTTCACTGCTTATTTTTATGATAACCAGTTTTGCATGGTTATTTTTTTTTTTAATTAATTCATGGATCCTAGACTGTAGCCTAAGGTATCTGTTATGGTGACACTAACAAAGGCATTTATTTTACCCATTTTAATGCTTTTATTTTTATGTTTTTAATGTTTTTAATTTAGAAAATGTTATTTTACAAGTACTTCAAAAAAATATCTGTATATTATATATTATTTTAGGCACGCAACCGAGGTAACTACTATGTTCCTGGTGAAGCCAAGCTTGCCTTTGTCATCCGTATCCGTGGTATCAACCAGGTCTCACCAAAGGTAGTTTTTATATACATTTATATTGTTTGTTTGATTAAAAAATAACTTAATAAATGTTCCAGTTATAACTGAATATTATTAAGATTAATAAAAGTAAATAGACCTCAAAAAATAATTAAAATTCATGTATATCATGTCATAATATTAGTACTCAAATAGTACAATTGTGAATTTAAATATAACATGAACAACTTGCATTTTAAAAAAATTACAAAAAAATTATCTAAAAAGATTTTTTTTATGTTTATAGCTTAGATTTAATTTGTATAACTTTAAGGAATTTAGGAAAAGTAAAGCTCTAATATCAATTGTTATTAGTAAATTATTTATTTTGTAGGTCCGCAAAGTACTAAAGCTATTTAGACTTCGTCAAATCAACAATGGTGTGTTCATCAAGCTGAACAAGGCTACAGTAAACATGCTTCGTATTGCGGAACCCTACATCACATGGGGGTACCCCAATCTGAAGAGTGTGCGAGAGGTAAGACATTAACAAATATACTATGTACTAATATTTAGATATACGCGAATGTATGACATTTTAAATAAAACTATCTTTTCGCATTTTTTCGCGGATTTATTCTCGACGTTTTGAATGCTTTATAGCAATCATGGTCACACGAGACTGAGGTATTAGACGTCTCAAAGGCCATTATATAGTTGTAATGAACTTTTTGCACATTTTGTAATGCTGTGGGTAGGCACTGTTAGTGTGCTAAGATTTTGTTTTTTAATTAAGTGGTTCTACTTTATTTGTTTATATACTATGATTGCCTATTTGGTGAATTCTGTAATTCAGTAGGATTTTGCTTGAAATAGTTATGAAATTTTACGAATTAATTTTGACTTTATTATACTTTAATTGATATGTTTTTAATGATTAACCTAAATGTTAAATCTTCAGCTGATCTACAAGCGCGGTTTCGCCAAAGTCAAGGGCCAGCGTGTCGCTATCACATCCAATAAGATTATTGAGGAGAAGCTCGGCAAGAGCAACATCATCTGTGTTGAAGACCTCATCCACGAAATATTCACTGTGGGAGATAAGTTCAAGGTGCCTTTTCATTATCTAATATCAAGAACAAAATACTATTGCTGGAAATGATATTTTTTAGATTTTAACATGCTATCGACTCATGTTGGACTTGCGCCTGCCCCACACCTGTATTGATAAGAATACATGCAATCTGCTTTTTTTTAATTTTTAAGTGCTGTATATAAGCAACCAATGTATGTTTAATGGCACATGGGTTGTCTGAACTATTAAACTTGGTATGCATATGCCCTAATACTAAAATATCATAGTTGAGCTACCCACATCTGTTTAGGTTGTTTATAAAATGTTAGTTCGTAATTGTGTGCTAGATATAAATTGTAAATAAAAGTGCTACTTTTATTAACATTTTGAAATCAGATGCAAAAATTGATTGAATATTATATATTCCATTAACTTTCTTTTAATGCACATTTTGTTTCTAGTATGCAAGCAACTTCTTATGGCCATTCAAGCTGAACAACCCAACTGGAGGCTGGCGCAAGAAAACCATCCACTATGTGGATGGTGGTGACTTCGGTAACCGTGAGGACAAGATCAACGAACTCCTCAGGAGAATGGTCTAAATAAATAGATTATAATTTTATATAAGACTTTTATTTTTATTTCTTAACCACATCTATTTAATTCCATCCTGTTACTGACATTAAGTACATAAAAAAATGTGTTTATATATCCAAAAGTTTATTTGTGCACTGTTTAAATAACTACCTTTGTCTCTTTAAGCAATACTTAAATAGTACCTATAATGGTTAGATCTCAAATTAGTGTTGCATCATTCACTGAAATTTAAATTATGTTTAATTACCATATAACAATATTTTTATATATTTCTGTAAAAACATAATATGTATATGACAGTGTAAAATGGGTACATTAGGTCTATCATATTATATACTAGTAGTAAAAAAGTTAACAAAATATATAAAAACGTTTAACGAAACTTTGCAATTGTTTAAATTAGAAACGTTATTTGAGCTTTTTTAATATTTTGAATCAATTATCCTAAAAGATAATGTAAATACTGACTAGTTGTTTGCTCTTATTCTATTCAAATATTTTGCTAGAAATATTTTAATTACATATATTCATTAAATGCTTATATACATTGTACTAAAATTGGCACAGCTTTAGGTTTATATTAAATGTTTTAAGGCTTGATTTAAGACATGTTGAATTTTGAAAATTATATTTCATAAGTATTTAGTAGTTTACTCACAGAAATCTTATTATTAAGATTTCTGTGGTTTTACTTAACAATAAATGACAATCAATAGCTTAAATCACTAAAGCACCAATAATACTTCTTTGAAAGTATCCATAATGGCTTAGAAATTCTTCACTTGAATTTTTTTCTATATACCAATTCATTTCTGCTAACATATTCTGCAAATAAATTTAATAAAAATAAATTTAAAGACAAAAAATTGTAATTTTAAATAACATTATTTTTTTATTTGTATACCTCAAGTATTTCATAAAATGAAGATGAAACAACAATTGCATGTTTATTTTGATAATTATGAAAGTTGTATATTAAGTTGGAAAAGAAATTTCTAACACCAAATGCTATTTGAGGATTTGTACTCGACACCATCAGTAACGGCTCAGAGAACTCATCATTTAGAATATTTACTTCTATCTTTTCATTGATTATGTTCAAAGATATTTTTTTATGTGAATTTAAAAACCTCTCCGATGACATTTCTTTAAATAAATAGTCCACTCTCGTAACATTAAAATGATTTGTGTATGTTAATTTATTTTTCAATAATTCTTTATAGTTATTAGGCAACATAACATAATATGACCACCCAATCAGCTCATTTTCAATAAGATTAATTTGAAACAAGTTTCCATTATGATTTTTAGCTGTCTGACATATTAAATCCTTGATGGTTTCCTTGGGTTCTTTAAGTAAATTAATATTATTTTTTGCCACATACATTTTGATAAATTGTTCAACCCCTAAAACAATCTTTTTCTTATGTAAAGCAGTCCACAGTGTTTTCTTTTCATTGAGTGCACCAGGTATATTAGATACGAGTTTTACATTGACTTCAACACCGTTTCCTATGTATTTTGAACTCAAAGGTATTACTAGCTTCAGGTGTTTGAATTGCTCAGCCACTTTCACACTTACTGTTTTTAAAACTTGTTCATCAGAAGTAAATATGAGGTGAATTTGTACATGTCCCAACAAATTTGCTAGTATATCATTAAATTTAGGTTGTAATGTAGAAGTATTGATACATATGAGAAAATAGAAACTGTTAATATCAAAATATTCTTTTATATCATTAGTAAGTGTAATGGTTGTTTCTTCTTTTAGAATATCTTCATAACTTTCAAATACTGTAATATTGTATTGTATAATATCATCCATAACATCATGTCTATTAGATAAAGCTAAAGTAGCCAAATAATTTTCTTCTTTCTTCAATTTCTGAATAATTGTATCATTTTTTTTAATTTCTTCCATAATTTTATTTAAATAATCATAATTATTTAGTAAATTCTCTGCTGAACAATATTCAGAGGTACTTGATGATTCTATGTAGCTTGAATTGTGTTCAAGAGGTAAAATATAAATTAATTTTGAATATGATGTACAAATAAGTTCATCGCCACTTCTTATGAAATCCTTCGCATATTTTATATTAAACTGTTTAAATACTGGTTCAGAATCTAAAAATGCATTTTCTGCTTTCCACATAGTTATACCATCAGTAAAAACCAAAGCATCATCTATGACTAATAATTTATGTATGGCAGTGTTCAAATGAACTGTGTAAGGAGTTTGATAAGTATCATTTAAGGAAATTTTGATAACTGTACCAGTAGTCAAACTTACAATTAAATTAAAACAATTATCAGTAATAAAATTTATACTGCTGATTTGTGATGGACTTTTGAACAATTCTAGAGGGTTTAAAATAAAATTAGATGACTTTACATTAACAAGAAGGGCATACAAAGTTAGGCCATCAAAGCTTACAATTACAAGTACTTGTTGGTTCCAATCATTTTCATCAGTTTTAAATATGCCTTTCACATATTCAAATTCTGTTTCAGACAACACTCGAGCACGAAATATATAACTGTTGTTATGGTACCTAATTAGTGTGATAAATTGGTCAGAAAATGTAATAATGAACTTTTTATATAATTCAAACTCGAAGTTCATTTTATGAATGCAAAAAATAATATCATTGGAATCATTTTTCAAACTGTAGGCTACATCTTCGTCGTGATCTATTACTAAAATATCTTTTTCTCTTTGTTCAAAACTACCTTTCACTCGTTTGTGCGCAAAATGTTTGAATTTTAAACGTGTTATGAATACAGCCCCTCTGTAATCTAAGCATACTAGAAAATTGCTAGATAATATTAACTGAGCAATTCTTGACTCTGTAAAATTAATTTCGCAAACATGATCTGGGTTTTTATAATCTAATTCCTCATACAAAAATATTTGATACTTATTCCAACATGCTATCTTACGACTCAAAACATTATATGCAATGTTTAAATTTTCCATTAGTTTATGAGGAAATTCAAAGCACACTTTCTGATCCATTATATTATCGGAATAAAAACAAACTTTATATTTTTATAATTACATTTTATAGTTATTTCCAAGCTATTAATTGAGTGAAAAATATACTTTTTCGCGCCTTTCTTTCAGTTTGAACCACAGAGTTTATGTTGGAACTTGGATGTTTGATTATTAATTGTCAAGTGTCAAATCAAAGTTATTTCATATTTGTGTTTGTGGCGTTGTCATAACATAACAATATTTCGTGTAGAAATTTATTATATTAATACTATATTTTACTATATCGCTTTTTTAAATAAAAGTATTCTATAGAATATGATATCTAAATTCAAAATATTTTATTCAGCATTAAATGATTACAATTTTTTACTGAACGTCATGAGTCTACTACCAGTTCGGAATGAAGCCTCAGACCTAAGAACTGGCGAGAAAAACTCAGCGGGACAAATATCTGCTTCGTATTTCGATGTAAACCTCCTTTAAATAAAATTTATCCAGGACGGATCAAAGATGTAGCATACAGAGACAGACATTGATCGGAGGCTATAAAGGCCTAACCACCTGCCAAATCTAGTACGGTTATCTAAGTCGATATTATAGTATATGTGACAAATTTGTTTTTTCTTATCCATGATCGAACCTGATATCATAGAGTACATTATTTAAAAAGGGTTATAGAATCGCCTAAAGTTATACCAAAATTAACAACAACAAATACCAAAATATACATTTGTACTTAAACCTATATTTATAAGTTTTCGTGTTCATATTTCAAAACTTCATATTACATAGCCCAGTAATCTACAAAGTCCTAAAAATACGTACAGGCCATTTGTGCGGGTATGTGGAGTGAGATGCGGGCAAGTAGTTCCTGAGTGCTGTACTAATTACATCAAAATATGATAAATAATTCTCTTTCCTCTTTTTTCTTTGAGATAATAACAATTCTTACTAAGTTGAATCTGTACATTAAATATTTTTTGGAAAATCTTATTGAAATAGTCATTAATCATTATTATGGATACAGAGACCGAACGTACAGTTTTTAGAATTTTTGTCTGCGACTGAATCAGGAGAAAACCACTAGATAGATTTTGATGAAATTTGGTATGATGATAGCTGGTTATCCGGGTAAGCATAAGGGATACTTTTTACTGCGGAAAAATATCTCATCTCTGAGAAATCTATACCAAAAACATTAAAACGTAACTAAGTAGTAGTAGTAGGAGTAAAGGTAAATCGCTAGTAACATAAATAAAATACAATTAATTTTAAATATTTTATTTTAATAATCTTCAATAACGTACATATTTACAAAAAAATAATAATTTAAAATTTAGCTGTTTGAATAAAAAAATAAAGAAAATTTCGTTCATTATTTTATACATCGGTCAACAATCAGTTATTGTAATATCAATAATTTACATTTCCCATTAATGATTACGAGTCTTAATTTTAAATAAAACTTGGACAGTTCCTATTTTTCTTACAAATCAAGTGAAATGAATGTATATCAAACAATATCTTCATTATTTATTTCTTTTAAGGTTTAAAAGGTTTATAAAACCTTTTTTTAACAGAAATTAATAAAAGTAGATTTATCGAAACTACGTAAATACAGTGTTCCATTTCAAAAAAATTAGTTATCCTTGTAAAAACATATTAAAATTTTATAACTTTAAAGTATTGACATACAAACTGTGATTGTACTTGATGTACATTCTATTTGATACCCTGCTTCAGTGATACAGAAAGAAAACTGATTTTATTATACATTATTATATAATGAAGTAATTTAGCCTTAATTTATATGTGATTAATCTCATCTTGAGGCACCAACAGATTAGGGGCTTTATTACTTTTCGGATAAATATGACTTATATTTTTTTAATAGATCAGCCAAAAAAAGCATAAGGCTAAATTATCTCATACGTAATTAAAAACAAACTAAATCAATACACAATTTCGCGAGACGTAAAAAATTAAGTTATCATTTATTTAACATTATAAACCCCACAATCATTAAAGATATTAAATACTTAACCGTTATTCGACGGTTTTATTTAAAACTAATTGGCACACTTTCACAATGAATCACTAGCAATACTATAACTAATACAAAATTACTAACTAAAGAGGTTTCATGTTAAAATTAAGACTGAGCGTGAGAAGGCTTCGAATTCTACATTAACTATATACAATTTGATATGTGTCTTATTGCGGTGGATCACTGACTTCGGTTTTATTAAAAAATACTATATTTTTTTGAAAAAAAAAATCCGTTTCCTATTACAATATAAAATTAGCTACAATCATGCGGCAAGTATATGCTTAATTTACATATTTATTATTCTATATGTACAAAATTCTCACAATCTTGAGTATTTCATAATTGCACTTTATTTGAATGCGGTTAGGTTTAATATCGTAAAAAATAATTTTATTCACATAATATGTTGTTTGGCAGTATTTATATATTTAGTACCAATATGATATTCGAATAGGAAATTTTTAATTAATTTAAAAAAAAAGAAATGAAAAAATCAATCGTAAGTTTTCCTTATAATCTACTTAATGGTCGAGCAACCAATATGAATATTAAATTAAAATCTAAATAGACAAGTCAGTTGATAAAATTAATTGTTGTTGTTATTAATGGTTTATTGAAGTAATACTTCTTTTGGAAAAAAAATCAGAGTAAAAGTTTTTGTCGATGCGTGGCACACTGACAGCAAAAAAGCGACATGATGAAGTTAGCTGAAAGCGACATGGTGCTCTAAAATAAAACTGATTTATTTTTGTAATAAATCAAATCAATCATTTGTAAAGAATCATAACACAATAAAGATATGATTCTTACTTAATTACTTAGAGTTTAATTTGATATTCTGGATGGTTGCGAGCCTGATATTAATTATATTGAATTACACAATAAACTCTTATTTAACACATGCTTTTGTTAAAAATGACTATAATTTTTAAATACTCTATATGAAGATCAAAAATCAAATTTACGAACGAAACAGCAAATGTCAATTTCAAAAATTTTAATTATTTAATTATGGACCTACCTCTGTTTTAATAAAATGTTTTTGACAAAAATTACTCATAGGTAACCCTAACAAGTTATATATTATGACGAAATATTATTTAGAACACAGAGTTATGTAATATAAATTTCATCCAGAAAAAATCATTTAAAATATCAGGGTACATCCATAATATGCCAATATTTTAATCGTCACTGAAATAACATAAGAGTGTTGTCATTATAAAAATGTACATGCTTTTTTTTATGATTATTTCTCATAGTCATAACACGAGCGTCCAAACGCGGAAGTAATGCGTGTGTTACTTTTTAATGTCTGGATCCATTTTTGTTTTGTCCATCGTTGATGAGACCATCCCGCTTTGAGGGTATAATTTGTCTAAATGCTTTAATGATTCATTGAGGAAATTCTGAAACAATAAAGTTTAAAAATTAGTATCGGCCTTATAAATAATAAAAAAATATGTTGGGACATTAACACACCGCACCATCTAGTTCCATGGTAAGCTACGAGGCTTGTGTTATGGTATATAACTTTAAATGCATATTAATTATAAATAAACATTAAACATCAATGACTGGAGTACAAACATTTGTGCTCATCACACAAATATATGCCTCCAGCGGGATTCGAACCCGTGACCGCTGTCATAGCAAGTAGGGTCACTATCAACTGAGTTGCTTTGACCAATTTTATACATATACTAGGTACTTTTCTCGCCCAGATATATGTACTAAATGCATGCTCCATTTCCTATAAAAACTAGATAGTTCAGAATGAAAGTTGTATTGAAATCCATTATACATTTTAAATCAATAAGATTTATAAAACCTTTTAATTCCTACTTTATCAAATACAATAGGTATACTAGGTAGGTATTTTAAATTCAAATTTAAAATATTTTATGAAGCATTATTACTATTATATTTTTATCTCTTTTTAACATTTCAAATTGCAATTTGATGCTAACAGATATAATCGAGAAACTGATATTGACATCTAAATATTTTATCTACGAAAGAGAATAGCGCGAACCTGATATTCCGATTGTATTGAAGGGAAGCCCGAGCCCAGCATTGGGACGTTAAAAACGGCTAAGTATAAACACAACATACCTGAATAGCAGTCAATGCCGCTACAATGGCCGGCCCTCCGAACCCATGTGAGATGAGAGAGAAGTGTGTAAGATGGCGTTGTATCGCCGGCTCTAAGAGATGAGGCGGCCGCGTGTTACATAATGGCGACCTGTCCTGATTCAAGAGATCCATAACTTCCTTCACTACCTGTTGATTATTATATTTTAATTAAATAAGTATAATGTAATAAGTCCCGCTAATAATATTTGTACATGCGAAAGATTGTAAGAGTGTTTGTTACTTCTATTCTCTGTGACGGATTTGAGTTTGTTTTGATTGAATGCACATATAAGTAAAAGAGTAAAACAAACAGTAAAACTAGGTATACTTGACATTTATTATATGTAATTAAATGAATCATTATAATTATATTAGATACTAGCGTTCACCCCCGCTTCGCTCGGGTTCGTCCTTAGCTTGATTCCCCATACAAACTCATCCCCATTATCACCTCCTTAAGGGATGATTTCCGGATTAAAAAGTCTCTTACGTCCTCGTTTTTGAGTTTATTCGTTACAAACGTACAAAAATACAAATCTTACCTCTTTATAATATTAGTAGTAGTGTAGATATAGGCAATAGAAAGGCAACTAGGGAGTATGGAGGCTGATAAGAAACAGACAATTTTACCTGTTTAGTAGCTTGCAAGAGATCCCTGCGACGCCTCGCGTCGTGCTCAGCGTACTGCCGCGCGAGGTATTCGGCCAACGCGCGCGCGGGGAACTCCGTCTCGCACACGTAGCCGAAATCCCGAGCGAGGTGCACAGCTTCAGCTGTAGGCAGAGAAATAGTGTTGCCATTATGAAGTGTAGAAGTAAGGTAAATGGAAGGAATAATCGTATGAAAAAATGTCCGTCGAAAGGCGTTAACTTAGGGTGGAGCTACTGTTTAACCTTGTGGTGGTGGCGGGACTTATTAGCGTCCAGTAGTTCAGCCGGGCGTGAAGCCAAGAAACGTACAGGGAGGTGGCCCACTTCGGTGGGCGGTGTACCATGCGGGTTGCTCCTGGTACTTCTCTGATAGCAGAGTGGACATAGGAACACCCTTTTAGTTGTGTGGTCTGCTTCGGCAGACCTGCCGTCGGGGCGTCATATTTGAGTGCGTAAGTGATCCTGCGACGCCCCATTAAGAAGGGGATCTTCTGTTGGGTTTTAGTGGGTAGTATTAGCCTTTCTAGCTAGTGAATCCCACGTAACCAACTGTATATATACAAGTGGTATGCGTAAATGCATTTCCCAACATTAAAAAAAGGGTGGCGCTTCTGTAGTCTGTAGTCTAAGTGCTTAGATTTTAAAGAAAGCGCCAAATGTTATTAGAGTATATAAAGAAGGAAAGAATTATTTTGGACTACGTAAATATATGAGTTTTTTATACTGCGGTTACATGAACTATTCTAGTCTGCTTATAGCTTGACACTTTCTCAACTCGCTTCCTGTATAGGACTGTGTTCCTTATCTCTACCGTATAAATTTGCCACATTATATTTTTTTGTAATATCTTTGAATTTAGTATATGCAATGTATGTATAATCATTATTTACATAATAATAGGAAATTGTTATTATATTTTTACGTATACGGTTAATGCTTGCAAGTAATAGCGAAATTAAAAAATAAACCATAAAACATAAAAAAAAGAAACAGAAAACAAGTCATAATAATGATAATAGCTACTAACCTTCCACTAATGAGGTGAGTAGCGTAACATTCGCGGCTTTCCGCCGCCCCGCTGGCAGATTCAGGCCGATTTTTTCTAATTTCTCTCGTAGTAACCGCCCGCCATTTTTGCTTTTTGCTCTGAAAAGAAATGATTTTTATAGCAGCTACTAAAGAGAATATATTAAAAATAGAATATAAAAATGTTTATGGTATTACAGACAATATTTCAAAAGAACTTAGGTACATTGAAGCATTTATTCTATGATACAGAGGTACCTACTGTAAAGGAAGTTTGTGCGATACATAATTTTTGTTATGTATATATATAAGGATAAATGAGTACAAATAATGAATATATTACATATATCAAAAATACTTATTATTCACATGCCTACTTTTAAATTAAAGTAAATAATACGAGTCAATATTTTCAAACAGATTGCGGTTTCGTACGCCACCAGACAATTAAATTAATTTGCCGCCATTATTCAACTCTATTGAACAGTCAGTCTATAACAATAATAAACCATTGTTGCCTTTAGAAAAATAATATATAGATATGTCATGTCAATAAGTTATTGAGAAATATATAGAGAACCGCTATACTTTGACAACTGGTTAACGCTAACGAGCCACCAAACGGCATATTTGGACAATACGTAGTTAATTTATATATAATAAAGTTTTTTTTATTAATTCGCATATTATGCTAGTTTTAAGGCTTTATTTACAGTCTCACGCTATATTTCTATAGCAACAATAAAGTGGTATGTGTGTTTAATCTTTACGGTATTGAGTACCTATTGTACCTCTAAAATATACTTGTGACGATTGATAAATGATTGGGTTAGGTGTCATTAATCTTATTTAATTGAATGTTAACAATTAATAAACTATAGATACAATATAATTAAATAATGTTAAGCACTGCTATATGTTTATATGTTTGAGTGGCGTGACAGTTTTATATATATTTCTCAGAAATGAAATATTTTCCCGCAATAAAAAGTATCCTAAATGTTGATCATATCATCACTATTTTTCATCATACGAAATTTCATCGAAGCCCTCCAGTGGTTTTTCCGTGATGCGGTCACAGACAGACAGACATAAATTCAAAAAAGTATGGATTCGGCCTCTATATTGATGATAATGTCTATTTCAATAAGATTTTCCAAAAAATATTTAATGTACAGATTCGGCTTAGTTACAATTTTATTATATCGAAAGATAAATATCAACGAATAAAAAAGATAAAATTTAGAATGCCAAATATTGACGAGGAGCATAGTGCTGCTACCGCCCGCTAGATTGAGCCACAGATAACCTATCGATTACCGTCAGTTGTACGTAATGATTGACGCATAGAAAGTCATATAAACTTTTTTGACTTTTTATCTTGGCCTTTATTTATATAAGTTTAAGGTTTAATATGTTAGTTTTAAAATAAACTATCCGTCCGTCGCTACTAGTATTTAACACCAAGTAAGCCCGTTAATGATTTTTTTTTTAATAACTGATGCTCTATGATATATTGAGTTACTCGTAAGATACGTTGTAAATATTTGAATTCTTTTAATAGTAATGGGATCTTGTTAGTAGATTGATTAAAAAGTTGTAATCATTTAAGTATTATTTACAAATACTTAAATGTATTAAAATAGTAACAAAGCGAAATGTGTGAATAAAATATTTTTAAGAACAACGACTTTTACGTATTGTGTACATAATACAGATTATAGACCGAAAAATATAATAGTTGTTGATATTTTTGTTACTGTCTGTTTGTCTGTTTGCTTTTCTCGGCAAACTCTGAATGGATTTTAAGTAAATTTTGTGTAGTGATTAGTCGAATCAACATTTAGGATACCTTTAACAGTACAGAAAAATCTCGCATACATATAGGAAAAAACAATAAGAACTGGTTTAGCCGAGTTGTCCTTCGTTTGAAAATTTCAATCATTTATTACACAAAAAAATAGTTTTCCAGTTTGTATGTTTATGTTATAAGCAATTCTAATAAATTATCAATATATTATAATTTTAAGATATGATAGTAGGAGAAACGGTCATTAAAATTTATAAATCGTCCCTATTAATGCTAGACGTGATTTATTCATAATAGGCTTAATTTTGCAAACCATCGTCTGGTTCGAGGTTCCCCTCCGACGGAATGCGAGCAAATTCCTTTGGTACTGATATTACAATATATTTCATATATGAATATTTAGGCAATTCCTATATTAAAATATCTAATAAACCCTTTTAAAGAGTAAAAATATGTAATTAAATTTATATAGCTATGTACTTATTTACATTTTATTAGTTTTAGAAAAATCTTCTAATTTAAATACATAATTATTATGAATAAATTAGCTAAAAAGAACTACTTATGTTAATAAAAAAATCAAATAAAAAAATAATTGTTGTAACATTTGAAAAACAGATTTTTAATTTATTTCTGAAGAGATCTAAACTAAAACCGACATCAATCCATTATTAATAAATTAGTAGCACTTTATAGGTATAAATACATGCATTGAAATCTTATTAAAGCAAAAAATCGCACGATACATCTTATATTAATAACTTTATTAACTATTGAGTAAAATATTTATATAAAAGCTCAAATGAGGCTTCAAAATACCAACAAATTAAATAGTCATCATAGCCAATGTATAAAGCATTTACTTTATCGTCTCGCAAATAATCCCACGAAACCTTATCTTGTCTGTGGTCACTTTGTTCTCCAAATTTTCACACGTTGACCATCGACAAAAGAAGCGAGAATCATGCGCAATGGCGGCTAACGAGCCAAACAATGATTTGAATTTGAAAACTAAATCGGATGAATCGACAGATTGGAAACTAATGGGCAAGAAATATCGAGTATCAAATATTCAGCTATCCGATTAGAAAGATTATCAATCATAAATCTACATGTGTTTGAATTGGGCACGTTAATTACGATTGTACCGTTTACTTTATTTATTTCATACACTAAAAGTATTTGCGTTGTAAATTATATATACGTTTTACGTTTTTATTTTTATTTTTCTTGACGTTACTTGTTGTATTATAAAAACTAGGGATTTTCCCTCGATTCCCTTCTTGCTGTATATTTTATTGCTTTATTTCAAACCGTTTAGGCGATCGGTATTTTTTATCCAACTAGTTGTAGTGAATCAATTTTTATCGAAAATAAAAATAGCCTGGCACTCGGCGGTTTATATAGTTTCCTATTAGTAAAATAATTTTCCGTAACGGATCAGTAGTTTTTATATGAAAAATTACAAAATTAGTTTAAATTACAAGATTTAGTACAGATTAATACTGTTCCATTTCTAAAGATTTTATTTTATGCAGATCAAAAAGCTAAAATAAGCTTCGAAAATAAAGTTTATAGAAAGACATTTAACGTTATGGACACAGTCATAAACCAAAGTCAAAAAGATTAATAACAAACATTTGGGGTTTTTATATTATTTATAATATCTATTGCCCAATCTCAGTAAATTTATGCCATTTGCCTCTTTATCATTTCATAATGTAACAATATTCGAATACGATAGATCTGTGCTCAATTACCCGAATCAAATACTTATTGATTGATAATTAATATATCTTATATTAGGACAGTGGTTTTCAAACTGTGGTTTGAACTACAACCAGGCTAGTATGAAACATGAATGGTCTCCTTATTTCGAGATACTTACGAAAAATACTATTTACTTTCAATTAAATGGAATTGTGTTCTATTTCATAAAAATATTCGGCACTAGCGGCTCACCCTAGCTTCGCTTGGGTTCACCTCTAGAAAAGCACAAATAGATCTATCCCACAGGAACCGTTCATTTTCTGGGATAAAAGGTAACCTGTTGTTTGACCAGCAATATAAGGTATTAGGTGAATAAGTTGTTGTGTATTAAGCTGTATAAGTTACTATAGTTTTTTAACTATCCCACGGGAACTCGTTCATTTTCGGGGATGAAAAGTATTTAAAATGTTGACCGGGGATATAAGGTACTACCATGCAAAATTTCGTTTAAATCTAAAAATAGAGATTAGCCCGTACAAACTAACAAACAGAAAAATAGACAGAAACAAAAAAAATGAACAAAAATCTGGATTTGTTCTATTTATCGTCTTACATTCCCCTGACTCGGTTTTTAGCATTTTTTTTCTATGTACAGACATTCGACCACTAAATTTTTATTATATATATATATATATAGATTGCACTTGCTATTATAACTTATATTATAGTATAACGCTGTTATTACATTTTCTTATTTACGGACCATAGAAAAAGGAGCTTGGAAATCTCTGTAATAGAAGATCGATCCATCAATAACATGCGGTTCATTAGTCAGTATGAAAGTGGGATTGCGATATCACTAGAATCTGATGTCTTAAATAAAATTAATATGTTTCTATACAAAGTACTTATAAAATATTTACTTTTTTAAGATATCTTTATCAAGAGTCAAACCCTAGAAGCTTTAGGTATAATCCATAATATGAGAAAGTATCATGTAATAAATTAAATAACCTTCATACTACATTTCTACACCTTAAAGTAGAGCGTGGATACAGAAAACATTTACTTCGCTACAAACAAATTAATTGTAAAAACTTTTTAAAAATATTATTTAAAATAACTTAAACTTAATAAGCATAGGTCCCTATTATTTTTGTAACTAATCATAAAGAAATTAAAATATTACAACATTTTTTAGATGCTATCATCAATTTTTCACCTTGTAAGTAGTTAAAAAAAATTCTAAAAAACATGAAAGCATCTAATATCTTTTCAGAAGTGCTAAAACAAAAGTCTTAAGTTGGTATCTTGATAAAATGTCTACAAGTAGGTAATACTTACTGCAAGTCGAAACTAGTAGGCAATAATATTTCTTAGTCCGCCTACAAAACTCATGAAATATGGTTGCAATCGCTGTATAAGGTAGCAATATCAAGAAAAATACGACAAAGCAGGTGCCTAGTGCAAATTGTGGCAATTTAGCATTTAGGGATGTCCTAAAACTAGCATTGTTATTAATTTATCATTATTTCTATTTTTTACTCAACATTTCTTAATATGATTATCATCATATAATAAAGTAATTTTTGCCTTTAAC